TCAATCAAGGAGGTGGATAGATAGATGAAAGACACACCATCGTGTCCGAGCTGACTTGGACTCGTCTGTCAGGACTTGACCAGTCATACACGGCCCCCTCCCGACGTGCTGGCCGAGGATACGCCGGCGCCTCTATGCACGCAGACGAGTGCAGAAGAGAGCATGCAAGCACTATCAGCCCACGTACGGCGGGCCGCTTGCGAAGCCAACGGTGCGACTTCGCATCACGCGCGCCTCAGCAGTGAGAGGTATCAATTATCGCGCGCAGGTCCTCGGAGGAGTTTTGTAAACGCTCAGGAGATATCCGAGCCAAACAGGCGATGGGTGAGAAGAGCACGAGCGGGTTCACGCGCGGAGGCATTTGCACAAGAGTAGTGTATTCGTCAGCGAGCGGTGTAGACGATGCTTCGTGGATCGGAGGCATAAGACATTGATGCATAACAGCAGGGCGCCAAGCACGGTGAACTATAGCGTACGAGGAGGCTTCGAGAAGGCAGCCAGCTGCGAATCTCGTAATATTGACGTTGAATGAGTAGTAGCGCAGAAAAATCAGGATGACCATAGAATCAGCGCACCTTCTCCGAGGACAAATTCAGGATGCATCTCACCACGGTCGGGGATTTGTCTGCTCTTGCAGTCCGTGGCCGACACCGACCAGTCAGCATCACACCCGTCATACCGATCAGACAGCCACCCACCAGTGATGCATGTCCCTAGCTTGATCACGTCGGAGGCTTTCACGCTCAGATCTAGCAGTCTGCACTCTCACGTGCGTGTCGGCTTCGTGGCGTGTGTAGCAACCATTTTGCATCAAGGTTCACCGGAGCGAGCAGCGTGAGTGCCCTGGCTTCGTGTACTGTCCAGCGAACATGGGCGGGATCCCAGGGGGGGCAATGTGCCTGCGAACGCGATCCTGCCGCATCGTACGTAGGCTCGGACTCGTGGCCCCCGGGCTTGTTTTGAATGTGCGAACGACGAAATTGAACGCCCGTCATTGGCTGAGATGCGTACTTGTTGCCTCGCTCGACGCTGCGGGGCCAATGGCGAGTGGGATAGCGTGATCGAGACTCGGGAGGCTATTGGCTGTGACGTGGGGGGAAAGGCCTGCTTGCGGCAGTTGAATCTGCCAGAGGTTAGGCGCACTCTCAGAGGCGTGCCCCGCATTGCACTACGACCAATTGCAACTGATGATGCGAAGAGCTGCAGGGCCAATTGCGAGTGGGATAGCAGGGTCGAGACTCGGGAGGCTATTGGCTGCGACGTGGGGGGAAAGGCCTGCTTGCGATAGTCGTGTCTACCAATAAACACGACACTCTCAGATGCGTGCCCCGCACTGTGCTGCGACCAATTGTGATTGATGATGCGATGCATGTAATTGGTTCCCCATGGGCAGTGAGTGATGACTCCAGGAGTGTAACGAGTAGCAGTGTGAGCGCTGCTGATGCGGGATCACGCCTTGTCCGGGCGTAGCAAGTGTATGCTCCATCGAGAGAACAGCCAACTCAATCACCCCGTTCTCCCTTTGCTGTAGCAGCCGCGACAAGAAGAGGAAGACGGGGTGATTGCGTTCGCGGCCGCGATCACGATCCACATCCGCTGTGCGTGATCGTGGCGTCGGACGGAGGGACGGCGGACGCCGATCAACACTTTCGTCCCGACTCGCACGGCGCGCTTGTGGCACACAAGTCGAGATTGCAGACGAGGGAGATTGCGTGCCAAGGGGGTCTGCATGATGAGTCGCGACGCGTTTGGATGATCAGTGTCATAGCCAGCATGTTCACAGGAGTACATGTGTGTCACATACATGTATTGAATGCGATGAAGCACGCCGACGTGCCTTCCGAAGCAGGCCTCGGACTAGAGATTAGATAGCAGTATCCGGAAGGCATGGGCATGAGCAACTAACTGCTTACCTCCCTCGCGCGTCATATCGTCACGGTCTGCTATCGGTACCCTCGTTGGATGAATCCATTCGAATTCAGGAGCACGCCCCCGCGTCAACACCGTGCTTGGTGCAGAGAGGGCACAACGGGCCGCACACCAGGCCTACCCGGGGCCTGGCCGCGCGTTACTGTGTCCTTGCTCGCTTTCGACGATCTGCACCGTACAGACGAGCATTGGGTGCACCCGGTGATGCTCTCACCGGGATCTGGGTGACTGGCCACGCAGCAGGGGCGTCGCACCGGACTCCGCACTGAGCACCAGTAAGGGGGCAGAGATTTAGAGGCACCGACGTCGACGCCGCGCAAGCACCCGGGCATAGAATAGGGCTTCGGTCAACTGATAGACTCTTTGACAAATGATGCGCGTACACACCGTACGCACAGACCACTTCCGTTCCGTGGCCTGACAAGGTTTGACAAATCTCCGGGCTATATTTGCGCGCTTCGGTACGCGATCTGCGGTGACGCTATTTGGTGGTTGGCTGGGGATGGCTGAGCAGAGGTAATCTTAAAAACCGGTAGGTTAAGCGAGTCTCAGACATGTTCGCGTACGTACGAATGCAAGCCAACTTCTTACCCGGGCTGTGACCTCACTGGGACAATCAGAACCGAAACTTGGTTTGACAAAATGGACGTACGAATATGCGGAATCGCCGCACTGATGCGCAGGACCGTGCGCACAGCGAACGTGGCGGTATATCGACAAATGCGGCGTTAGACTTGCCTTGGAGACACAGTTCGCCTCTCTTCGCGAAGAGCAGCATCTACCGAGCCTATCCCAAAGGATGGTGACGCGCGCTGCCCAAATCGCCCAGAACTTCACACCATAGCCAGCTTCCTGCGACCGTGTCTTCCAAGGTCGAACGCGAACGCAGAGATAAGCACGACTTCTGCTCGTCTTCTGCACTTCCTCCGCCACGCAGCTGGCTGGCAGAGACGCTACGGCGTTCTTTCGACGCACCAGCGCACGAAAACACCCTCGCGCTCGGCGACGCCCCACCGCCCGCTCGAGACCAGCGTGATCAGACACGACGCGCTCCCGAATCGTTTAGCCTTTTACCCTCTGGCTCGCAATCTTTATGTACAAACCACCAGCCGGATGCTACAGATCTGGCGCCTGGGAGATTGCAATTTTGGATATCCACTTGTCGGCGCGCAATTGCTCTAAGCACTCAGGATGCCGACCGCGGACGAAGCACTGCGAGATGGCAGCGAGGTCGGGGGCGCGCTCGCCCAAGGAGGCGTTTACTCGTAGCACGTACGAAGTCCTCGAAAGAAAAAAGTTCCTCTTGCCCTCTGTCAGAAGACACCCTCGAGCCCAGCGCTGAACCCTGAGCGCTGAGCACCCTGGCCGACCTCAAATACGTCCGGTCTCCGCCACCGCAGTGCGATCGCGTCGGTCATCATCCACTGCGTCGCGACTACTCACAAGCGACACAGCGCGACGCGCGACCCGACTGGCTGCAGCGAGCTTATTTTGCAGGTACGCTGTAGTAAGTCACTGCAGAAAGAACGCGGATTCCTCGGTCTCCGCGCGCGATGCGACGGTCGCACCCCGACGGACCCCCGCGGGCGACGCGGTCCGGCGCAGGCGCGCCTCGCAGGTTCAAAGGAGGAGCACCCGACGAGATTGGGGCGAGATTCAGAATCCGCGGCGGCGAGGACCTACGTGCTGCTCGGTCATCTCGGCGCGCACATTAGGTGGTGGAGGGCACGCGCCTTGTTTTGGCCGCCTTGTTAGACCCTCAAGTTGTTGGAGATCCCCTTTTGCGCTGCGAGGGGCGGGTGGCCGGATCGGGCGGCGCGCGGCGGAAGCTTTTGCGGCGCGGTCACTCGACCTAGCAAATTTGCGCGGTTTGTCCTTCCGCGGACACACTTTGAGAGCGCGATCGCGCTGTGATTTTCTAATTTGCTTGCCAATCCGTCTCTCGGACAAGAGCAGGACAAGGACACGCCGGTCTCAAGAGCGTGCTTGCGACGATCCGGCTGAACGGCGCGCGATCCAATGCCCATGGCTGGTCTCGGGACACCTTCGCATCGACGTGGGCTTCAAGATGAATCCGCGGTGGAAGAAGTTAGGAATCAGGCGCGGTTTGGTGGGGAAAACGCAAAAAAAAATAATAGTGTTTTCGCAGCAATACTTCGTGCGAGGGTGTGAACCCGTTAGTGTGTTGTGTGACCGCGTCTCACTCTCGCCCGCACGCGACGGGAAAATAATCAGATGGCGATGCGCATCAGATTCAAATTGGGGGGGTGCGCCGGCGTCCCATGCAATATCCAGCCCGGTCGCAGATAGGAACGCGCGGTGTGCGATGCACGGACGGGTGGCCGGAATTAGCGCGCCCGGGTGGCGACCGGCTGCGCGGCGACGAGTATAGCGAGCTTGGGCTGCTGAGGGCGACGGATTCAGCTGGAGACGCCATGGGATCCGCATATGCAATATCGTAGCGTGGCAGACGCGTGTCTGCAGCGCACACGCCTGATAACGCGGCGGCGCCATGATGGAGGCTCGGGCAGAGGGCAACGGGCGAAGCATAAGGTATAAGGTAAGATGTGGTATGGCACAGTATGTACGCGGACATAAGTGATGCACGACATGCGGGTGGGGTACGTACGGTGTACACATCAAATAATGACGGAGAAATGAAGAGGTAAGTAAAGCGGGGCGACGAGCGATAAGTGGATCATGGAGGGGCTCGGATCCGGGGTAGGATCCGAGCCCGGATGGCAGACAGTCAGGATAATGATGGAGGGATGAAGGACGGAGATGAGAGGACGGAGGCGAGTGCAGCGCGAGCGAGGAACGGTGGTCGGAACCATATGGGTGTGGTCTCGATAGATGGACCCGATGATGGACGATGGATGGAGATGGCGATTAAGCAGCGGTGGCGCCAAAGGAGAGACGTGAGATGGGGCGATAACGACGCCGAGCGACCAACGCTGTGGGAGCGTGCAGGCGGTGCTGTGGGCGACGACGGAGTGCAGGTGGACAGCGGGGCGCAGCAGGGGCAGAGCAGACAGAGCCCGGGAAGACGAGGAAGCGGGCGGCAAAGGCAATCAGTCCGGGGCGGGAAGTCGGGCAGGACCGTGGCGGGCGGGGAAACAGATACTGATCCAATCGGGCCACAGATTGCGCAGATTGTCGATAGGCACACGCCCATGGAAGCTGCCGAGCGCGCGCAGCGCCTGTTTGGCAGGCGGCGGGGGAGAAAATCCGGGGCTGAATAGATGGATTATCCGATATGAGCCCGCAGGGAAGCGGGAGGGCGGGAGGCCTGTCGGGGCAGATGACCAGGCTCTGAGCACGATGGGAGACTGGAAATTAATGAGGTGGAAATGACAGGGAGGAGAGTGGAAGTTGGGAGGACCAGTGCACACGGCGGAGGGGGCGGACGAGCCGGGGGAGGGGGTAGCATTTGATTGGAGCGCAGCAGGCGTCATGGAATTGGTTGGACTCGAGTTGCCCGATGCAGAAAATGGAATAAAAAAAAAGAGGGTTGTGTGGCAACGGCGGTCTGGGCGCGCGGTGATTGGGCCGGGAAGTGGCGAAGGGGGGCCGGGGACTAGGCGGCCAATGGGGACGGGCTGGGAATGGAGCACGCGCATGACGTCTGGAAAACACGGTGCGTGGGAACAAGGCCGTCCCGGTGCGGAAAAGCGGTCTGCCTGTCGAAAACATCCCGGATATGGTCACGCCCTTGCCCGCTATCCGCGGGCCCGTTATATAGACAACGCTCCCTCTCCATCTCCCCCCAGCGCTTCCGCCTTTGTTTTCCAACGCCTCTTCCGCCCTCCCACCCTCAGGGTTCCGGCATCAGGCCTCTCCCTCTCATGGATCTCGACTTCGACACAACATGGTGCCCCGTCTGCTCAAGGCAGATCGTCCCCAAGCGCATCCACGTCCCAATCCAACCGCCACAACCACCACCGCTACCCAGCTCGCCCACATCAGGTTCGTCCCCTTTCTGCGCATCTTTCCCCGCGTTTCTCACACACTCCCCAGAGCCTAAAATGCAGGACGCGGACACCAACGTTCGCCTCACTCGCAACAAGACCGGCACCATTCGCGCCAAGGGCGGCGGCCTCGTACACGGCACAGGTCGTGTCAAGCCCAACGGCACTATCAGACGCTCCGACAGGGACGCCGCAAAGAAGCCCCCCTCTCCTACCGCAGCTGCTCCACCAGCACCAGCACCAGCCCCTACGCGCACTGGCCCCGTCCGTCACCGCACAATTATCGACCAGTCCCCCATTCCTCTCTACTGCTCCGACGAGTGTCGCCTCGCCGACCTCCAGTCTAACCATGGCGCACTCGACATCGACTATCACCCAGACCGATGTCTCTCGCCGACCCTTCCCCCGGTTCCCCATAACTCCTACTCTGAATTCTCTCTGCCAGACGAGAGCGACTCCGCCAGCGGCGGCTCGCTCGACTCTCGCTCGTCGATCGCGTGCTCTCCCCCAGAGTCCGTCGACAACAACCCTTCGCCACCCGCATACCCCGTTCCCGAGAATTACGCAAGACTGCAAGCCGTCTACGACCTCCCGCCGTTGCCGCCGCCTCCACCACTCTTGCGCGCGGAGAGCACCTCTTCGGAGGCCTCCGTCTCCTCGAACGACTACCAGTCCGGCGTCATGATGGCCGCGCGCCGCATCAAGGCCGCGCTCTGCCAGCCCAAGCAGAACCTGCCGTCCTGGAGCGTCCCGCCGCCGCGCAAGCCCATTCCCGGCTGGACCGACGGCTCGAACGCGTGGCGCGCGAGCGTGTACAGCTTCGCCGCGCCCTCCGACACGCCGGTGCGCATCGAGGACGAGGACGGCCCGAAGGCGTACAAGTCCTTCGTCGCGAGCTCCCACCGCTCGCGCGGCGTGTTCTCGACGATGTCGGGGTCGCCCGACGACTACGTGAAGAAGCCGTCCTCGGCGTCGCTCCCGGCGCCCCCGCCACCGCGCACGCAGTCCACGGCGGAGGAGCTGTATGCGAAGTACCCGATGAACTTTGTCCGCCGCACCGACTCGCGCGGCACCATGGCGCACGCCTCTGCGAGCCCCAACGGCTCTGTGCGGTCACTCCCCGCCTCGTCGTCGTCGGTGCGCCGGCGCGAGTTCCCCCTCGTCATGCCCGGCGCCGAAGGCCGCCTTCTCGTCCCGAACGTGAAGATGTCGCGCACGGCGTCGAACCTGACCGTGTCTAGCAGCAGCGAGGCGCCCAGCAGCTACGGCAGCTACGGGTACCCAGGTGTCGCGGCGCGCACGATGAAGCGCAGCCCGCTCAGCCGGCAGAATAGCGACGCGAGCTTCGACACTGCGGACAGCCAGAGCGCCGTGGACGACGAGGAGGAGACTGCTCGCCGCGCGCGGGCGTCGCCATCGCCGGTGCGGAAGCGCCAGCCGCCGAGTGAGTCGTTTCCGTTTTGTTGACGTGTGCGCGAGCTGATTGTGTTGTGCAGTGCGGTCGTGGAGCTATAATGCGGATACCTTGACGTACCCTATCCTCCAGCTGCCGAAGATGGAGAAGCGCATCGAGAAGCGAGTGGTCGACGGCGTCGAACGCGAGGTCGAGGTCGAGGTCGAGGTGATTCAGCCCTTGAAGAGGCTGTTCCTCTTCCCCGGCAAGGACGTACCTGCTTAGGCTATTCGTCTCCGTGTCCATTTCGGTCTCCCATGCACTCATCGCCTCGCACGACACGCTTACTCGTTCGCTCGCTCTTGTCTCCTTCGCCGCGCACGCGGCACGCATACCCTGTTTATGATACCACCCGACGCCATATCCTCACGCCATCACGACGCGCAATACACTTATTCACCTCCTCGTCCATACACGTCCTCGTCTCCTCGTCCCACACATCACGCATCCGCTCTCGCATCACCTCGCATTGTCGCGCACGCACGCCACGTCGTCTCGCGTCTGTATCCGTCGGACCGGTCTCTCCCACATCGTTACTCTACGCCGCACGCCCCGCCCGCCGCCCGCGTCTAAAATGTGCATATCGTACTCCCGCCTGCCGCCCTCCGCCTCTCGTGTACCACCACCCTGTAAATATGTACAACAGCGCCCGCCCGCCCGTCCGTCCCGTTCTCGCTCGCTCCCGTTCCGTCTCCGTTTTTCTTCGGTGTCTGGTGTCGTGAGTGGTCGGTCCCGCATCGCCTTGCCAATGCTATCCCCAGTTATCGATTATCGTTCGCATGTACACATACCTCCCTGTCGCGTCGCTGCATACCTTACCCGTGGACTTCTAGTTCGGCTTTACGCTACTTTCCGATCTGTCCTCTCCTTTTTTCTCCCTTCCGTTTCTTTCTCTCTCTTCAGATCTCAGACATTGGGTTGACGTTGAAGAATCCTTGTGACATTAGCTCGTTTCCCGTACCTGACTATGATTCGTAGCGTCTGTCTGATCGATGGCGGTTGTAATAATAGCTCTCTCGAGACGTTGCATTGCATGACATTAATTGCGTTGAGAATGTATATTCGCTGCGTGTGGGATTGAGTCTATGGATTCTATCGTTGAATATAGCGACTAGTTCGAGGCTCAGGTGAGTGCGAATTGAATGCAGTGACGTTGAGTGTACTAGGCGGTGCCTAGGTGTGAGGTACATGGAGGTCTCCCCTCCTCCGCCGTACGCGCAGCTGCCTCCCGACCCTGCCCGCGCGAAGGGGGGCGCGTCACGAACGCCGATCGCGGACGGACGCCGGGCCGCGGCGCCCGAGTCCGAGGAGGGATTTCCGCGCTGGGCGGGGCTGGGCCGGGGACGCGGCGGGCGGGCGGCGCTGCGCACACAGCCCTCGCGGCGGGCGGTGGGGGCTCCAGGCGGGGCGCGGGATCGCTGGTGTTAGCTGTACGTATGAACGCTCAGGGTCGATGGGCCGCCGTTCGCCCGCGGACATGTGCACGCTAGCTAGTGGCGGGGTGCTCGGGCGAGCCGGGCTTGCTCGTATTGGATGGGGAGTTTGTTCAACATGTTTTTTTGGTCATCTTCCTCCGCGCGTCGTCACTGTATATTGTATATTGTATATCGTAACTGGAGTTCGTCCACGCGATCGCTCCTCGTGGTGCCCCGTACGCTCGCCGCTATGCTCGTTCAGGCCGGTTTCGTGCGATTAATGCCAACTTATGGAGGATGCGGAATGGGGAGAGCCCTACTCGTGTGCGGCCTCCCCATCGTGGCTCGAAGTGGAAGGGCGCGCGGTCAGTTGACAGGTCATTCGTCCGGCGATCTTATGGCAGCGGCATTCTGGTGGTACGTCGAGCCTGCCTACATATATACGGTGGCTGCGAGACTTGCGATGCTCCGTCCGTCTCCGTGTTTCCACCCGCCGATGGAGGGCGTCTGCAGCTGTTGGGCCCCTAGATCGTGGTATTGTATGCAGAAGGCGATCCGGGTGTCTCTCCATGCCTTCTCTACAATTAGTATCGCAGCCACAGAGCGCGTGCGGGCTCTGGGCTCTGCAGGAGTCCTAGTCAGCGTTGGGCGGCTGAGCCAACAATAATTGAGAGGCGCATGTGACGAGATGACCAGTGGGGTAGCTAGGATTAATTGTGTGCGATCTCAAGGGAGCTTCTGCGTTCTTTGTCCGCCAAGCTTTCCTGAGAGCGGTAGCTGACGGGCCCGGTCGAGGCACGGTGACGTCACCCAGCCATTGACAGTGGCTGAACGAAAGTGGATGAATGTGCTGCACGACGTGCGTCGACCTGGTGAGTGCCCCCATCTGACTCGCCCGATGCGATAGATCCTTCGCTGCCGCTTACCGCTCTCCCTGTGCCATCGGCCGCTCTCTTCGAATCGCGGTAATTTACCGCGGATTGTCTTCTGCCACATCGTCATCGATCCCGTGCAAGCATAACGTTACGCAGATCGAGCTTTGTTTTAACTCAGCGTCGCGCATGCCGTACGTTTCTGAGCCAGAACACTCGCTGCCTGACCGGCACGCCCTGCAGCTTGACACGACGTTCGTCCAGGATAATTCTATTGGGAAACCCTCAGAAACCCGGAAACCCCAAGAAACCCCGGGTTTCTGAGGCTGCTCGGAGAAACCCCTCAATTTGGAAACTTGTGGGGTTTCCCTCTCCGGAGGAAGTTTCGGACTCCGGCCGGACGCCCTCCTGGGGCGGCCATGTTGGCATCATCGTTTGTGCGGGAAGGCAGGGCAGACTCACTCCTCAGCTTCTCATGGCAGTTGACGAGAGATCGAGAGACCTTGCCTGCATGCACTCTCCATATTCTTAAAGTAAATTTTCGCAAGAATGGGAGAGGGAGAGGGAAAATTGGCACCCGCCGTAAGCCTTGTCAGTCCCGCCCAACGCGTCCTGTTCACGTACATAGAGTGTACCGAGCTCCTGTGTGATCGGTAAGCCCCGAATCAACTTACAATTTCGCAGCGAGGCCTCTGCTACGGGGAGGCCGCACTTTACTCACTTTCAGAAAGAGACTGCAAGCGCGGCTCCCCATCAAAACCGGCCGGCTGTCAACGGTCTCCCTTGCACAGAAACCAGGTTGCTGAGCAACTTAAGGGGGTTTCTGGGGTTTCCGGGTTTCTGGGGGTTTCTCAATAGAATTATCCGTTCGTCCAGAACACTAGTTGTGCGGTGGAGCTCCACTTGGCGAGGCACCGGAGCTGTCACTCTGAGAGATCAATTCGAATCGAGTCCAGGTCGTTCTGTGTGTCGCTTCGACTTCGACGTCGCTCGCGCGTGGCGTTCTCAGGCCGGTGCCTTCTGCTGCTTGTCTCGAGCCCACGGCCATGTGCTCGATCGTAACACGAGCGCGCTCACTCTGCGGGGAGGCGTGTGTGGCGGCGCGCGTCCTGACCGTGACTCACGATATTCTCTCTAATGCTGTCTGGTTGGGTGCGACCGGTTCCTAGTCTCAAATCTCATGCCCCAGTGCATTCGATGACCAAGGTGGCACCGGGGTGCCGTAACACTACCGTAACAACGCCACGTCTGAGCTTGCCCTCTACGGCCCACTTTTTGCACTGCGTGTCCCTGTGACCCACCCACGCATGTGCGTGCTCCAGCGCTGTACTGCACACATCGCAGGGTGGCACAGAAGCCCAAAGATTATCTCGATACTCGCACTCGCATCTCGATCCACCCCCTACCGCACGTCCTCGTAAGCCTGATTGACCGCGAACCCGTCTGATTTCCTGAAGCCCTGCAGCTACCCCACACCTCCCCTGCCAGAGACGCCTCGCCACCCCATGGCGCGACGACACCCATTTATAATTTACTTGGACGAGCACACGAGGCGGCAGGGGAGGCGCAGGGTGCCGCGGCCTGGTATCTATTAATGCAGCGCGGCAGCGCGCATGCCTAAGATCTGGCTAGGAGGAGCTCTGGCTGAGTGTGGCGTGGATGCGGTACCCGCGTCCAGGAAGTCCCACTCCAGTTATGGCGTGCGCCTGCGGCACGCGCTGTGGAGACGGCGCCTCCTCCCCCGCAATAAGGCCTGCGCGGCGCCGTGCGGAGTCGATGCCCGCATTCATTTACCGTGCTTCAGTGCGGGGTGACGCTCGTTACACATCCTCTCGGAATTACATGAGCGCAGAAGTTTATTCAACCGCGCCTACGAAGCTCCATGGAGCTTCTTGTACAAGGCCGCCGTGGTGCGTTTGATCATCTTCTGCCGTTTGTTTCGTCGGACGTGTATCTGATATGATATGGTATGCCCTCGTCCTCATAGGGGGCATCGCAGGTTCGTGATCCTCCCATCCCGGATATCAACGTCAAACGCCAACGTCAGCGGCATCTTCTGCGGTATATAAGGAGCGCTGGCACTTGGGCCCGACATGCTCGATGCGACGTGCCACGTTCTCACCCATACCGTGCGCTCCTGTGGCGTCCCTGTTCGAAATGCCGTCTGTCCTCGGATTAGCGCCCACTGCCCCCGCGCGGCCATCCACCGCGCTCCCCGCGTTTGTGCGGGGTCTGCTATTCCGGCGGCCGCGTCGGTAGGCGCGCGCTGTATGTGCGAGAAACTTGCGTAGTGCGCTGCGATCATCGAACACAGTGCTTGTGCAAGTGCTTTCGTTCAGCATGGCGCCGCCGCAAACGGGTTGGCGGGCGTCGGCGCGACTTTGAAATACGTCCGGGCCCACTTCCCTGCTCTGCTGCACAAGCTTTCGACAGAGAGGTTTGCAGAATTCCTGGTTCAGGTTCTGCGCTCCTCAGTATGTCGGTCTCTCAGAGCCCAGGTAATGCGGGGTACAGGGCCAGACAAGTGGTATGTCTTGTTTGATAGGTCTGACACATACCTCCCAGCGACACACTCATTCGAGCTGACAAGATGCTGTTGTGTCTGTTAAAGTTTCCAGGACACTGATACTGCTGGACAGGGTTGTTCCCCTGCTCGGAGATCAGTCGGCATCCTCTTGCTGGCGTCAGGCCGTACGTACTACGGCTACGTGCGGCGAGCAAATATCCGCCCCGCTCAGCGCTACGGTTACTTGATGCCGCCAACTGCCGCAGGTGCAGGATCTCATCACTAGTACTGCGGTGTACACTGCGGTAAGCGTTGTTCCTTTCGGTGGTGAAACTTCCCCTCGTGATTGATTTCTCTCTAGATATACGTCTTGATGCGCCGCGCAAGTACGTGTAGACATCGAAACATGTCCGTGTGCTCTTCCTGGTCTGCTGCGCCCATCCACCGCCCACGAAATCTCAAGGCGTCTGCGTGGGTTGCATCCTGCCGTTTGCTGTTACCGCCCCCCCCCGGTCGATGAGGCGTGTTCTAGCGTACTGTGTGTGCCAGAATCTTGCATATTAGTGGTCTGCGATTATCGATCATACTCCTTGTGCGAGTGCTTCGTACAGCACTGCACCGAAAACGGTTTGGCGGGTGTCGTGAAATGGCGCGTCTTCGAAACATGTCCGCACGCTCTTCCCTGGTCCTGCTGCACAAGCTTTCGGCGGAGAGGTTTGCCAGAATTTCGAGCTAAGGTTCGCGCGCGCTGGGCCTTCGCCTATTGGTATCCTGGTCTGTCAGAGCCCGGGGACGCGGGGTACAAGGTCGGACAAACGGTGTCTGGTATGATAGGCCTGACACATACTTCCCAGCGACACACTCATTCGGGCTGACACGATGCTGTTGTGTCTGTAGAAGTTTCCAGGACAGCAGTACTGCTGCTGGACAGGGCTGTTCCCCTGCTCGGAGATCAGTCGGCATCCTCTTACCGGCATTAGTTCTCACCGTTACAGCAGGCTACGTACTGCCCGCCATTCAGGCTCGTGGAAGACAAATTTCTCACCCAGTAGACACTCGGCAAGCGTCGGATGCCCCATAGTGGATGGCGACAAGCGGTCGCTACAATTCCTCACTCGCTAATCAAGAGCTCGCGGTCCATTGAGAGGATGACGTGCGACACCTCCGGCAGATAGAACGAAGGCTGCGGGGATGTCACTGTGTCTTTCCCCTCGTCCTGGACAGCTGGAAGCCTAGCACGTACTTACTCGCGGAGCAGAACCATTGAATCGCGGAGCTTCGAATCCCGCTCCTTCCAGCATCGATATACATAGTAGCACCGCGACCACTCGGCCACACAGCATCTCCGGAGGAACGAAACACCAGTCAGGCAACCCCCACCCCCTGTCCGCGCCAGGGACCTTGATGCAGATGGCACCAGGTGCGCACGGTGCGCACACGCTGTCTGTCGCTATCTTCCCTGCGTACGTCTGTCGTGCTGGAGCCCCTGGCTGGTGGACGCTGATGCTCAGGCCGGTGCGTTCTCCTTGTCATCCTATGCATGCTTGGATCGCCCAGCCCACGTCGTTTTACAGCAAATATTGTCGTCACCCGTCACCCAGGATTCCGAGTTGCCAAGCGCCCCGCTCTGGAATGACGTCTGGTGATGCGGGCGGCAGGCGTATGCCGAACCTGCCCTCCGCATTCGCGTTCTTGCAGGACTTGTTCCGCGAGCACTATAACTTAAGGTTGTACATGCTGACGACCCAGCCTGACCGCTATACTCACCTGCTGTGCCAGTGACACCGTCGATGCCGTGATAGTGCTGTACGAGTGCGAGCACGGGACAGTGGCAGACGAGCCTGGTATGGACCGTACACGCCAGGCCTGAGGGGGCGAAGCCTCCCATTAATCCCACTAATAGAGTCTGGCTGTTCGCGCGCGAGAAGGTACCAGGAGAGGCGGAACGGACCAGGCTAGCCTCTGTGCCTCGCTCGCGATGTTGCTCCGATGATTCGCCCGTCCAGTCTCCGTTCGCGCTTTTGCGCTGGGCAGTTGCGTCAAATGGTAACAGAGGATGCGTACCTCGGGAGGATGACCCGAACAGCTGGGACCCGCACAACCGCTGCACCGTCGCGGGGGGTGCGTGGCCGTGATGTAATGCGCCCGCGATCTGCGTCGCTGCTTCTGTGCGCACTGCTTGATGCACCGAGGTTCACGGGTCTACCTGGGTACGGCGCGGAGGTGCGGGTAGCCAGCCGCGGTATGCATTGCGTACGCTGAGCGGCCGAACAGGGTCCGCGACCCCAGTGACCGGAATGCAAAACGAAGCTTGAGCTAATTCCTCGTGGTCACTTTCGCTGGCTCGCAAGTGACATGCACGGATTGCGTCAGTGACCAGTGTTCATGCGACGTGGTGAGTTTGTACTCGATGATGTCAGAGACGATGTTAACGTTAACGTTGCCCTATTCCGCGCTGGTTGCACAGTAGCGTAATGCCTGTCCCGTGGCTGCTAGAACTTGTAGAAGGGGTTCCGACAGCCTGACTCTCCGTCACATTGTCAGTCAGCGTCGGGAGACGGACCGTCTTCATAAATGCAACTAGTCCCTACAGTGGATTGCTGACCGCATTTGCCAAGATGTACATGTTATTTCCAGACGGGAAGGCGGAAATTGGCTCGGCTTCGGGGCACCGCTGTGTGCATGGTCTTCTGGGCCCTGCGTCTTCTTGGTGTAATCTCGGACAAAGGATAGGTCGCTATGGCTCTGTCTCGTCCACATCCGAAACACCAGCGATCCCTCTGGCACATTCTCGGCGAAACATGGGCTCCCGGAAGCCGGCCCGGATCCTCGGGAGATCACCCTCTTGCGGCCATGCACTGTTGGAACTACAACCGCGAGTCCGACTTGAGCGCTGTGCTGCGAGGAAACTTTCTCGCTCATGCGTTCGAGGCGCTCGCGGCGCGCCCACCCTGAAAGTTTTCGTGCCGCTAGCTGCGGAGGGCTCGATGGAGAGAAGCCCAGTTCGTTGGGGACCTGTTCTTCGGATGAATGTCCCTGTCACTCCAGTGTGCCTTATGTGCTAGACTATGCCGCGGTCTCGATATTCCACTGCCAGGCTGTACATAAGTCCACCATCGGATGGAAGTCATACGGTGTCTTGTAGGTGCTAGCTGTCCTTTCCATCTTCCCCAATGGGCCGGCACTCCACGGGTATGTTTTGTGCCCGCTCCCCCTGCTCGCTCAATCATTCGCTAATTTTGCTCATAGCCGACAGCTTTTACAAGGGCCGAGGGACTGGGGAGGTTGGACCAGCTGGAAGTCGGTATGCAGAATCGATAATAGGTTGTAGATGTTTGTTCAAGTACAGCAGCATGCTTTATCACCATCTGGTGCAGATTCAAAAACTCTGCAGTGTGCTGTAGGTTTTAAACATCGGCGTATTCAGCTGGTCATGAGTTGGTCATGGCGCGATCGACGCGTATCGACGCGTCGCGTCATGGTCACGGTGTGGTGTCACGCGTCGCTCCCTCTGTATTTCGTCGTCATCCAGTCTGCAAGACAATCACTCGCCAGCCCGCAATATTCAGGCCAACCTGCTGATTGTAATCACCTTCCAGAATATAAGATCTACTGCGATTAGTGATCAAGTCCTCACAACGGCGGTTAAGTTGTGCTCGTCACTCGTTTCGAGCTTGTAGTAACGCAAACATCAGGTATGACGGGACGGTCCAATATCTGTCTCCCCGTTATTAATGTTCTTGCAGTTCTCATTAGAAACCATGCACAGATGCTTACAACTCCCGGAGCTCTTGTGCATAATATTCGAGCTGATCTACACGGAGGATTGGGACGGTCTCCAAACTCTCGCTGCGCTTTCAGTGACGTGTCGTACCTTTCATGATATTGCTCTGGATGTTTTATGGTACTGGCAGCCGAACATTGGACCATTGGTCAGATGCTTCCCTCCTGATGTCTGGACGGAGGAGTGCGACACCAACGGCATGCATACTGTGGTACGATTTTTCTTGCACATTCGCAACGTCTTACCTGGTAATTGTGTCATATAGTCGTTGGTGAGAGAACCTAGTCCTGACGACTGGGAACGGTTCCTGTCCTATGCTGCCCGCATCAAGTCGCTCTGTCATCGCACGACTCCGAGTCGAACCCCATTATGGCCTCCTAGCTGTTTGTACGCTATGCGCGTTCAAGAAGACGTATTCGGTACACTATACAGGATTCGAAATGGTCGGTCCTTCCTGCCAAATTTGCGCCGGTTTGAACGGACACAATGTTCCAAAGACCCTGCGAATGACCTAGCTCACCTGCGACTCTTGCTAAATCCGAAGGTGACAGACATGGCGATCTTCACCATGGCTGAGTTCGACACCACGTTGGCTGTGGACCTCGACAAGGCTGTGGAAGACTTTGGGAACAATTCCCCGTCCTTACAGCACCTCACCGCTATATGTCCATTTATCCCAAACATTGCAGCAACAACTTCAAAGATCATCCTTAATCACCGGTCTCTCCGGACAGTCCACCTCTTCCAAGCCAATGACACATACATGTCCATCGAAGCTGCAGTCCACCTTGCACACCTCCCCACACTTGAAAAGCTGTGCATACGCTCAGACAAGTTCGTTGACACGGACGGATCCTTGCTGCCTATCCACAGCGCAGTATCTGATGTTATGTTCCCCGCCCTACGGTTGCTTACGCTCTATTCACATGATTTGAGCAGCGTCCGCTTGTTCATCGAGTCTATCCAGTCCACACAGCTGGAGAGCTTGCAGGCCCTCGTGCTGGTGCCTCCCACAGCAGCGGAGGTGCAGGAGTTCACGACGACCATCAGCGCCCGCAAGTCGCTCCAGTCTATTTCCATGTCGCGCGGACTGGGGAGCCCGCGTTTCCAGGACAGCTACACTATTACCGGAGACCACCTTCGCCCGCTCCTCGCGCTGAAGGACATGTTTGACTGCAAAATCCAATGGCGCTGCCCCCTGGAGCTCGACAACGCGTTCATCAAGGATCTCGCACTGGCATGGCCAAAAATCCACACGCTTGAGCTGGGCACGGATTGGCGCAGGGAGCTGGACACACTCGGCGTTACGCTGAAAGGACTGATCCCTCTTGCGCAGCATTGCCCTGCCCTGGAGCACCTTGGCCTGGTATTCGACACGGACGTCTCGGAGATCGTGGATACGTACAGCGAACAACGGCCGGGGGGCGGAGTTACCAACGGCAAGCTGCTCTTGTTGTCGACCGGCACGTCGCGGATCGGCGAGGATATGGTCACTCTGGGTGGCTCTCTCTCCGATCTCTTCCCACAGTTGCGTCATGTCCATTCTGCGTGGGGTAAGAAGGAGTTGCATGACGCGGCTGGCGCGGACGAAGACGACCCAGATGAGGAGGAACTTCAACAATGGGAACAGCTGCGCAGGCTGGTGCGTGAGATGGGACGGGTGCGGAGGCAGGAAAGAGAGTGGCATGCGAGCGCGGCGAAGGACCGACCCTCGCAAAAGCGACTGCCCATCGTTTCAGCCTGATACACGACCAGATTCGACTCTTCTCCACTTCCAGACTAGAAATTTCTGTAATTCGTTAATCGCGCAACTTACATGCAACCTTCCCGCTCCCTTGTGTGGTGCACGGCAAGTTCGATCTCAATCGTATGAAATGTCGTGGTGCTCACTTTTCCAACCTCAGCCTACGGATAATACTACTTTTGTGGTTTTTCTTGGCCGGGTGACCAATCTCTTTACTTACAGCGATTGGAACGAGACTTAATCCTCAAAAACCTTACACTGTTTGACATAATACATACGAATCCACCGCTTTCCCGATTCAAGGATGGAGATTGTCATCATGAACCATGTTCGTAAATTGTGATAAGATATAAAGCTGACAGTAGATACCACCGCGGACCAGAAGCCTCTAAACATGCTCTGGCGCGTACTGGACGCAGAAGACGACAGCGCCAATTTCCTGTGCAAGAACAGCGGCGTCTGGTCGGCGGTCGACGTTGCGACAGTGATCACCGTGGTCGCAGTAGGTGCCGCTTCCCGGGTACCTACCAGACAGTGAGTCCCATCAGTACCCCGACATGATAGCAATGAGTGTCACGCATACTCGAGAAAATGCCGCTGTGTTGTTGGGCCCTATCAACAGCCTCTTCGAGTAAGGTGGGCGCATCGCCCGGTACCCTCGACACGAATCCGATGCGAGGGGGATCAACAGAGGGATGCGTCAAGTTACCGTAGTAGAATACCACAAGGTTCGACTTCAAGAATGGAACTCCGAGGCTCCAGCTAAAAAGGGAGCCGTACCTGGGAGGATCCGTCGAAACCACCCTGCTCGCCACGCACATCTTGGCGTCTCCGTACTTGTTCTGTGCGACGAAGTCACGCGGGTCGACGGAGAACATGTTGCCGCCGATCTTGAAGGCGAGTGTATGCGGGGTTGTGCACGGGAACGTCGCCTTCGAATGGAGATTCGATGCGTATGCCGGGGATACGGTGGACAGGATGTTCGTGACGACATCACTGGGACCGCGAATGAGTGAGTTTCCCTGTCAAAAACAGGGTGATTGGCTATCATTCAGTAATACGGGTAGACTCAACCTACAGTGTCAATGAGCGCGGATGTAGACGATGAAGAAACACCGTCAGGCTGCACAGCAGAAGCTGGAAGTTGCACACCGTCAAGGAAGACGCCGTCCAAGGGCGCTTCCCAGCGACTGTGGGTTGACTTAGGGAAGCCTTTTTCCAGAGGAGTGGACAGAGGACATACAGGGGATAGACTTCGTGGACTGCGAATGTCGGGGGTTTTATACCGCCATCACGAGGAGCATAAAGACGAACTGGGACCCATGTGATAGAAGAGTTGTCCACTCCAATTGGCAATTGACCGATCGTAATTGCACCGTGCCCACTCACGTCAACAGTATCACGTTGCAGAGTGATCTGAGAAGACAGGTCATGCCACGGTTGTAACGTTTTCACTGTCCCACCCACCGCAAACATGGGCTGGTCAATAACACCAGACATCACTAATCGAGATACAAATGGCCCGTATTTCCCTATGTTGGATATCAAGGTATCAGTCGTAGCAGGTGAATTAAACTGCGTGGTAGATCAATATCAAAGGGCGCTATGTTGGAGGAAGGACCAAGTACCTTCGCGTTAATGACAGAAGACTGAATGGAGCTACAGGCGGACAATTCCTGGTCAGTACTGTATGACAATTCTGGCTGCAATGTACCTCTCCGAAGGAAAACCAAGCCCAAACAAACCAGCCGCTCCATTAGACACCGCAGCATTGTTCGTTCTGTTGATCGCCGCGAAAGGTTGTTCAGACATGGAAATTCCCGCCACAGAGACTGTGTCAAGACCGACGGGGCCCGCAGCGTAGGTACTGGTTTTGGAGTCACCGTACGAGATGTTCATACTTGGACCGAGGGGTTCAAACAGCGACGTAGAGTATGCAGGAGAGGTCGAGCTTCGGCAGGTCTTCGTATGACACGCCTCTGATATGACCCACAAATCGCTGGAACCTGTGTCTGCTAGCGTGTCAATTGGCTGAAATCATGGTATACCTGAGAACTACTTCACCCAGGTCCAGTGCAGTTGTCGTAGTGCCTATTTGCACTGAAACGGTGTAGTAACTGCCAGGCACATAACGTTCGAATACTATTGCATAATTGCTGGAAGCACTCACAAGTCGGCGTAATCTCCCAAACCAACGGATCCAGCCAATATTTCTTGCATGTCTCGTGGTACATCAGCCTGGCGTAGAAAAGGGATGACAACTCCTGTTCTGTTAACACTTCCTCCCTCATTTGAGACCTGGAGGGGCAGGGCAAACATAAAAGAAGGTAGAACTACCAGAGCCCCCAGTGCCGCATACCAGCTTGACGTACACATCCAGAAACGAGCGAAGCCGCGACCAGCGCGAGTAGTACTTCAAGCGGGCGATTCTCGACAGATGATATGTATTATGCACAAGTAGAGAGAGGAGCCTTGACGGTAGGTTCAAGTTGGTTACTACCATCACCGTGACCGCACTCGCATCAGGTTTCGTCAGTTTCGAAACTTACTGGATTTCATAGAAATTTAAACCAGTGATCAAAGAATGGAGACGCATTCAAACAGGCTTCATACAACACGATAATGTGAATTCTGAACTATCTGAGCCTGACAGTGAGCAGTGGACTTCGAACTTGAATCGAGCCCGAGCCTGGCGAAGCCACCGCATCACGGGAACAAGTACATTACGTAAATCCCTCGCTGAGTGCACTCACTGAGTCGCGCTGCTCGGCTTCGAGTTCGACGCTCGCGACGACAAGAGGCAACCCATCGTCCATCCTATCCACTTCTTTATAATGGCGGCCAACAAACCAAACAAGCTTGCATTCTTGTCAATGCCTGCCCCGGCGTCTTACGTCGCGGGTCTCGGTCGAGGGTATGTGATTTCACTCCTGATACTTGCATAGACTAATATCATAGCCCACAGTGCATCTGGTTTCACTACGCGTTCCGATATCGGTCCAGCACGAGAAGGACCATCCGCAGAGGTTATAGCGTATGTAGCAGACTGTTGCGGTATTATGCAGCAATATTGACAACATTCGCAGTGAAGCCCAAGCTCGGCGAGGTGAAGAGCCTGAAGTTGATCCTGACCAGTTTCAAGACCCAGACAATGAATATGGTCTATTTGCTGGTACTACTTACGAGGCGGACGACGAGGAGGCGGACCAGATCTACGACCAGGTTGACCAGAACATGGATGCGCGGCGAAGGGCACGGAGGTGAGTACCCCGGAGAGCTCGCGCATTTGGAGTCCACTAATCAAACTCGGTTCCTTACAGAGAGGCTCTCGAGAATGCTGAATTGGCGAAACACCGTGCAGAACGGCCCAAGATTCAACAGCAGTTCGCCGATCTGAAACGCGGTCTTTCAGTTGTCACCGATGAAGAATGGGAGAACATTCCAGAGGTGGGCAATCTCACGCGGAAAAAGCGTAAAAGGGACGAGAGGTCATTCGTTGTACCCGACAGCGTTATCGTTGGGGACAGATCGAAGGCCGAATATGAGAACTCCTTGGATGCAAGACAGCAAGCGGTAGGCTTTTTGTTTTTTTACTTCTGTGATACACTTGTTCATTTGAGTATTCAGACTGGTGGATTCGAGACTCCTGCCGACAGTGGGACTCTGACCAACTTCGTTGAAATGGGACAAGCCCGAGATAAGATCTTGTCTCTGAAACTTGATCAGGTATGTAAACCTCAGGGTCTCCTGTTTCTCGGGATTAAACTTTTGTTAGGTCTCCGGCAACTCCACTACTTCCGGGTTGTCTACTTCTATCGATCCTAAAGGCTACCTTACCTCCCTCGACAGTGTCGTACTGAAAACGGATGCGGAGATTGGTGACATCAAGCGAGCTCGCATGCTGTTTGACTCACTAGTCAAGTCAAATCCGAAACATGCTCCAGGTTGGATCGCTGCTGCTTGCTTGGAGGAACATGCAGGACGAATGGTTGCAGCAAGAAAGCTTATCAAAGCCGGCTGCGAACAGTGCCCCAAGAGTGAGGACGTGTGGCTAGAAGCGGTACGGCTTCATGTAAGCGTGTGGTATTATTGCGTGTTTTCTTTTATTAATACCTTGTATCAGAACAACGACGACGCGAAAGTCATATTGGCGAACGCTGTGCAACACGTCGGACAGAGTGTCAAAATATGGTTGGCTGCTGCCGACTTGGAGCACGACCTCAAAGCTAAGAAGAGGGTTCTGCGGAAAGGTTCCTCTCATCACATGCATTTCATGCTCACAGACTGACATTTGTTTTAGCCTTGGAACACATTCCGAATTCTGTCCGTCTCTGGAAAGAAACCGTAAACCTCGAGTCTTCCGCAGTCGACGCCCGTATCCTGCTGTCGCGTGCTGTGGAGGTTATTCCGCTTTCCGTCGAGCTGTGGCTTGCTCTCGCGCGATTAGAGACACCTGAAAAGGCTAAGGCTGTCCTGAACAAGGCTCGTAAGGCCGTTCCCACTAGCCACGAGATTTGGATAGCTGCCGGAAGGTTGCTTGAACAAGAAGCTTATGCCTCGGACAAACCTGAAGTCCAGTGTAACAAGGAGCTGGAAGCGGTTGACAAGACCATCGAACTAGGTGTTCGGTCTCTTCGCACGCACCAAGTCCTCCTTACCCGTGAGCAGTGGCTGAAGGAGGCAGAACGATGTGAGGCTGAAGGTTCACCGCGCACGTGCGAGGCCATTATCAAGGCTACAGTCGCCATGGACATCGAAGAGGAGGATAGGCTTGATACCTGGGTCAGCGACGCAGAGAGTGCCGAAGCGAGAAGCAGGGTTGGTACAGCGAGAGCGATCCTGGCATATGCTTTGAAAGTCTTCCCTGACAAGAGGAGCTTGTGGAGGAAAGCTGCAGATCTCGAGAAGGCGCATGGTACTAGGCAAGTCATCCATCAGCTGCTCGCCGTTTGAGTATTTGTTGATCCCCCTCTCGCAGAGAATCCCTCGATGCAATTCTCACTCGTGCTGTGCATCATTGTCCACAAGCGGAGGTCCTGTGGCTTATGTGGGCCAAGGAAAAATGGTTAGCTGGCGACGTTCCGGCCGCTCGCGACGTCTTGGAAAGGGCTTTCGTCGCGAATCCAGAAAGCGAGCAAATCTGGTTGGCAGCGGTCAAGCTCGAAGCAGAAAACGGCGAGTTGGGCGTTGCCAGGGAGCTCCTAGTTCGTGCTCGGACGGTCGCCGACACGCAGCGGGTGAGTTCGCTTTCCCTCCAATGCTATACACGCGTAGCCAACACCATCGTCCCTGTAGATCTGGATGAAATCGGCAGTATTTGAGCGTCAACAAGGCAGGATCTCTACCGCACTGGAGACCCTTAGTGCTGCTTTGGCAAAGTATCCCAAGTTCGCAAAGCTGTACATGATCCAAGGCCAGATACATCAATCGCAAGGAAATTTCGCCGCTGCTCGCGCGTCTTTCGCTGCCGGTATTAAGGCCTGTCCTAAGGAGGTCACACTATGGATCCTTGCAAGCAGATTAGAGGAGTCAGATGGAAGGAGCATCAAGGCGAGAGCTCTTCTTGACAAGGCGCGGCTGGCAAACCCGGGCAGTGATGTCCTCTGGGCGGAAGCAGTCGGCGTCGAAGAACGTAGTGGAGGTTCTGCACAGGCGAAAACAGTGCTGGCTAGAGGTGTGCAAACCGACTCTTGAGTCGTCGTTGTTTAAACTGACTTTCTTGTTTGTAGGTTTGCAAGAATGTCCGACTTCTGGGTTGTTGTGGTCAATGACCATATGGGCGGAGCCTCGACCGACTCGGAAGTCGCGCTCGGCAGATGCCCTGAAAAAGTCAGCCGATGACCCGCTCATTCTGTGCACTGTCGCTAGATTGTTTTGGGCCGAGCGCAAGATTGAGAAGGCGAGGCAATGGTTTGAACGTGCGATCTCTGCCAATCCTGATCTGGGTGACATCTGGGCGTGGTGGTTGAAGTTTGAGAGACAACATGGCACTTCGGTGAGCGTATGTTGCGCATGTACTTTGTTCTCTTTAGTAAATGCCTCTTTTTCAGGAGCAACAGGAGGAAGTCATCAAGAAGTGCATCGCCGCGGAACCTCATCATTCTCCTGCGTGGCAGTCTATCGCCAAGGACGTCAAGGACACAGGGGAGGGCACGAGAGACATTTTGGAGCTTGTTGCTGCTACTCTGCAGTGAAGAACATGACGTGGCGGTTCCAGCGCGGCGGAATCCACCGTCTGTTTGGAGTCGCTGTTCTGAGTGCTTTCATCTCATATGTTGTACCAGTAGTTTTTTACATGTAGCTGCAGCTTTTTTGTTTCCAACGCAAAATTAGCTGTGCCACACCCGCCTTGTACACGATGTTTCGCGACGAGCAGGTGAGGAATGCCTATCACTATATATACTTAAGACTGTCGGATCATGCTCAATCAAGTTGGAATTCGCCGCTGATGGATCCGGAGCTGAAGAACGGATGGAACCGGTAGGTGGGCCTGGTAACTTCTACACCCGTCACTGATTCTTCAAATTTTCCTCTCCAAGGCTCTGACGAGGATGGACGTGCAGTCGCACCCTTTGCTTCATAATGATGACATCCTTCGACTAGTCTTCCGGCAAATGTTTGATGGCAGAGATACTATAGGATGGACGTCCACATTAGCTAGCTCAGCGCGGGTTTCCACAGCATTCTGCAGCCCAGCACTCGACGTGCTGTGGTACGATGTCACGATCCTACCTTTGTTGAAAACATTAGGCCTATTCCTGTCGCAGACGCAGAACGATGGCAGAGTGCGGCGTGTGTATGTGTGTATCTGTATCATGATCGCTACTGTAGTGTATATTGAACTAGCCAGTACTGTTGCTTCCCGCAGGTCCTGGAAGGATTCGTCGCTGAAAGCCGATGGGCGAGATTTCAAAGCTACGCTGGACGCGTCCGCAGGCTGACTTTGACCGCTGATGAAGCAATCCAAGTTCATCCCTCTGTCTTTCGCGCGATTGGTGTCTTTCATGCACATTATCGGGCCCTCTTCCCCGTGCTTCGTCATTTAGACTGTTCGACAACGCCTTCCCTGTACGAACTGCAATTATTTCCATTTATCACTGGGTCACTTCGGGAGGTCACCATCGGGAAGCAGTGGTCATTCCATACGGGGACGAACGAGGATCAGATTTTTGGGAGGCTACTCAGCGTGCTCAGCTCCGAAGCCTCTGAAATGAACTACCTGTATCTAGGCTGCGATATCCGACCGTCGCTGTTGATACAACACATCGTCCATTTCACGAGGTTGAAGCACCTATTTCTTGAAGGACCCATCTCGTCGTCCCAGCTTCTCAGTTGTTGCGGCGGACTCGTGGATCTGGCATTTCTATCTGTTTCTGGTCTCAGAGAGCCGTCCCAGGACGATGTCTCTTCGATCGGATTTCCATCTCTGCGAGAACTTAAAATGACTTCCGACCCATCAATCCCAGGTGTCATCCATCTCCTGGCGTCTGTATCTTCTCCTCATCTCCAAGAAGTCGCACTTCTAGGGTTATCCTGGGATGACCTGGATGAATGGCGCAGCTGCTTCTGTGTCCTATGTTCCAAATTCAGCTCATCACTACGGAAGATCGACGTCACTAGTTTCGCACCTGTGAATGCTTCAAGCGTCAGTTTCATGCATATTGTGCAGCCTCTGCTTGGCATAAGCGGAATCCAGAGCTTCACCATCTGGTGCGATGGTTCGCCCTTCATGCTGACTGATTATGACATCCACGACATAGCAAGCTCGTGGCAGAATCTCGAGGACCTCTACCTCCGGGTTGGAGAAGGCAGCCCCAGAGAACGACCATCGGTATACGCCATTGATGCATTTGCGCAGTTTTGTCCGCGATTGCGACAGCTCACCATCAGCTGTTTGGACATATTCCTCCCTCCACCTTGGCCGCTGTCGCTCACAATGTTCCCACGACTTACAGAACTGAATTGTGGGAAGGGTGATCGCGGCCTCAGAGAGACAACAGATGCCGCGATGCGGTTGGCGCATTTCCTCCACGACAGATGTCCCTGTCTTGACTTGCACACCCTCGCAAGGAATTCGCCAGATCTCTTCCTTGCCTTACGAGACCTCCGCTCACGTGAAGGGAACCAGTCAGACGATGACAGCGTTGAAGCATTGTGACCCACCGTTGTTCGATTCTCCCGCGGTCTTGCTGAACTCGTTGGATGCCATCCCTCTGCGAGCAGCAGACTAGACCGCGTTGTTTAAAACATCTAGTTGAAACCTGCCATTATAGGTTTGTGGCAATCCCTCACTAACGTGAAAGAGTACTTCGTCGTCCTAAAAATCGTTGCAATAGCGCACCCGGTCGTCTGCATATTTTCGCCAGGGCCGTGGGTACCGAACATGATTCATTGCATAGGCCATTCATTAAATGCACCTTGACCAAACCTGAAGAAACTTATGGTCCCCGCATCCACCGCCGCGACAACGACCATCTTCTTCCCCGTCTTCAGCGCCAAGAACGGGTTTGGGTTCCGTGGAGGGGCCGCGGGGGTAGACGGAGGCTTGAGGCCCCATGAAATTATTCGACGCCACAGCGGTAATTTTCCGAAAGGGGGAGCAGAAGGGGTGGGCGCCGGTGCTGCCCTTTCTTGCTTTTGTTGCGCGTAAGAGATGCGCTTGCGGGGGACGGGAGGCGGCAGTTCGGGTAGGACGTCGAACAGGGCCGTGAGCTCCGTCAACGAGGGCATAGGTGTCGTCCTGGCGCTGCAAAAAAGTAGTTAGCACAACTTGGACCAAGTCCGAGAAGAATGGAGTACAGACTTCACGACGACTACGGAGAAATCTGGGGGTGGAGGTGCCGTTTTTTTAAATGGTGTCGACGGCTTGTACAGATTGTAGAATATTTCATACGGGGAAGGGGGGTTATTCGGTGACTGTTGCACGTGAAGAGGCGCATCGAACCCTGAAGGCAAAAACCGTAGCGATTTGAATATAGAATCTGTAACCAAAAATTGAGATGCACCAAACAAATCGCGAGCTCTGAATGCGCACGGTAGTCCATATTGTAGTGAAGCCAGCGGTTGAATAGAAGAGGCCTCCACCAATCAAACGCGCGAGAGAAAATGCGTGTTAGTCTGGAGATTGCAGACCGTACACCGGAGTACAGAATCCCAAGGATTGATGTCGGCACTTGCACCTTCGTATTCACAGGCAGCGGGGTTGGATAGTCTGAAGACGGAGGCTTGGTCCGCATCACCATATAACCTAATCGTCTCAGATAGGCAAAAACCTGCGGCGACATAAGCACGCATCGTCAAGATTCAAAGTAACGTACCTGGTATTTCTCGAGTGTTAAATCCTCTTTACCGACCATCTCAGCAAAAGCTTGCTGCACGCTCATGGGGACTCCCTCAGAGTCTTCCATAGCATCAATGTCGGCGTACTGCGCATCACTTGCTTCCCAGCAGAACATTGCGCCTCTCTCTACAAGATAGAGCGCTTCCTCCGGGAGCAATTCCAACCTTTTCTGCGCCCTTTTCATTCCATCACGAACTGTGGACGTTCTGGCTACGGAGTGACCCATGTTTGCGAAGTGAACTCCTCTTGCTACCGTGACATGCGCCCGAGCAATATCTGGATACCATACGGCATGACTGACAGATTTGCTAGGTAGCAAAAAAGATATGAAAAGATATACAAAACATTCAGAGATAAGTGATACTCACCTGGAAATGCCGGGTGCAGCTCTCAACGCGTCAAACATCGCATTTCGCGACCGATCCAACACATGACGCTGCAGATTAGAACCACCAGTGACATTGGGCTCGAAATCTTTCTCGCCACGCTTGGGGATCACCGGACGAGCAATTCCGGACCTGACGTTGATTTCCCTGAGACGGAGGACGAGTGCAGACATTCTTGACTCACGGCAATTTGGTCCAATCTGGTCCTTGGTCTTCATCTCCAGAAGATTGCTCGTCCTCCTCTCCTCTTTCCTCACTACTTTCGGGCTTCGCAACAGATGAAGGCTTTTCCAGAGAGTCATCCATGCTGAAAGAGTGTCTGATGGTGAGGAGTCCAAAATGATATGAAGCGCCCGAGTCGCCGAAAGTGGAAGGTGCTCTGGTTCACGCGTCGACAGCTTTGAGCGCTGAGCATCGGAGCAGTCTCCGAATCAAGCAGCGCTCACCACCTATGCATTAATCTTTCTTAGCTCATATTTCTTTCCCAACGTCGCAGGACTACGGTTTTCAACGCGAGCAACTGTCATATATACCACCGCAATGTCGGGCCAGGCGAAACCGACATTTTATCAGTCTCTTATGGTATGTGTCCATCTATCCCGACTTCACTGTGATCAGACACAATCATCATAGGCAGGCGGACTAGCCGGGACATCCGTGGACCTGCTTTTCTTTCCCATCGACACGATCAAGACGCGTCTCCAGTCGTCGAAAGGCTTTCTCCGAGCTGGGGGCTTCAGAGGGATCTACAAGGGTGTCGGAAGTGTCGTGGTGGGTAGTGCGCCTGGAGGTATGAATTCACCGTCCAAGGGTTTCCCGTTACCGATGCGGAATTCTTCTCAGCCGCACTGTTTTTCTGCACGTATGACACGCTGAAGCAGACGCTACCATTCTCACCCGACCTCGCGCCTCTCACACACTTGGTTTCGGCGTCTATTGGCGAAACTGTGCGTGCAGCCCTGTTTAAAACGTGATTAGTCATTCAGGATTGTTTCAGGCAGCCTGCGCAGTCCGTGTGCCCACAGAAGTGATCAAGACGCGCACTCAGACGTCTACATATGGGAAAATGGCATCTTCGCTGGATGCGGCGAAGCGCGTTCTGGCAGACGAAGGTCTGCGTGGCTTCTATCGGGGCTTCGGCTCGACGATTATGCGAGAGGTGCGTCGGACACAGTACGTTCCTTCCTCCTCATCCACGTCGAGCGATGCGGGATACCAACCGTTTTTGCAGATCCCGTTCACGTCCATTCAGTTTCCCCTATACGAGCTGCTGAAGCTGCAGCTATCCAGTTCACTTGGCAGAAGGCCCCTCCATGCATATGAAGCAGCAGTCTGCGGGAGCTTTGCGGGCGGTGTAGCTGCAGCGCTGACGACTCCGCTAGACGTACTCAAGACTCGCGTGATGCTTGATCTCAGGGTGCGTCCTCGCCGTCGCGCCTTCGCTTATCAAAGTTGTACTGACTCGATCTCGCAGGATACCTCGAAAGAGAAGCTTCCGTCGCTGACTGCACGATTTAAGCAGATATACCTAACCGAGGGCGTGTCGGCGCTGTTTGCTGGTGTGGTTCCTCGAACATTGTGGATATCGGCTGGAGGCGCAGTGTTCCTTGGGGCGTACGAGTGGACTGTGCATACGCTCATGTCGCAATGACGCTGACCTGGACACTCGTATCGACTAGAGAAGATATACAGTAATACACAACTGGTATCAAAACGCCGGGGTATGCATTCGTATTCGTCCAACCGTAAGTATCTAGAACTCATCAAGTATTAAGAGGCGCATCGGAGCGTGGTCCGAGGCGCAGAATAACCCGGGGGAGCTTCTTCTCCTCCGAAATCCTGTCGGACTTAACGGGTGCCGTTGCATATTTCTTGAGATCAGCTGGCTCTGAGACGGACGCTGGCAAGATGAAAGGCACAGCGTCTTTCTTGTCGGCACCACCGGATTTCCGCGGACCCATCTTCCTCGGGGGTGACGACGCCGGCGTCGGATCGGCACTGCTTGAGCCTTTCTTTCGCTCGCGCAGTGTTCGCGATGATAGCGGGATAGGTACGCGCGACGACGAAGGCGTAAGTAAATGAGAAGAGTCGATGGATGCGAAGATTTCGAGCGCACGCTCCAGCCACGGTTCCGTAGCCTTGGAAAGGGATGCTCTGCCGGCTCGACGCTTCTTGGTAGCACTCTCCAGCTGCAAGAGGGTGAGCTTGGAACTGATCAAGTGGGCTATAGCGCACCTGCACTAAACTGTCCAGGCTCCACCAGTTTTGATTGATCTCGCTGTCATCCAGGTTGAGTAGCCCTGTCAGATGCGCCATAGCCCCGCTTGTCAAGGCCCTGTCGCTGTAACCGCCTTCCAGGACGCTGACTAGTCTGCCGTGCGCATAGCGCTCAGCGAACTTTCCCGCGTCCCGAGCGAATCGCTGGTAGAAGGTAGTAGGAACGCGTCGATGGTGCCGCGACATCGAGGCATGCTCATGCTCGCTCGCGTCGAAGCCGCAACTGCGAGGTAACGTAAGCCCGTCAGAAGGGGCACTTAAGCGTAGAGATTAATTACCTGATGAACACCAGCACGTCATTCCCGGGACCCCCAGTGCCATCAAGGAAGTTGCCAGCCCTACCTAATAATTTGGCGTAGGGTCCCGCGTACAGTTCCCCCCAAAACTGTCGCTCCGAACTGTAAGGTTTGAGGTGGATATTTTCAATATGTTGGCCGTGTGACCCATGTATGGAGACAGAAGCTGCTTGGACAAGGTCTACTTTTCCGTCCTGAGAACGCAGACAATGGTTCGAGTGTGTGTCGGAAGAGATAGAAAACTTCTCGCCGTACCTCGCAAGGGTAAGATAGTATATCATGTATACTTCCGTAGTATATTTGAAGGCTAGATTCACCGGAAGGAGAGACGTACGACTCTTCCAGAGTTTTCCGATAGCTTTCCTCGTTGATTTGCCAAGCTATTGACTGTGTGCCATTTCCTGTGCATATGGCTGAGTCGGACACTGACAACTCGTTACAGTTTCCCACCTACCATGGTGCAAATCGATGTCTAAGATCACGACGCGGTTAATACCGTGCTTCAAATGGGCTGCCACAGAACGGTCTCGGTAAAATAAAATGGAGTACAAACATAGCTGTCTCACCGTGCGCGGCTGCAACTGCAACATTATTCACGAAACAAAAGCCCAAAGGAGTGTCCTGGACGGAAGTGAATGTACTGCATGATGCAACACGCGCCCTTCGCTCACCTCCCCGCAATGATGTCCTGGAGGACGAATGGCCACAAAGGCACGCGTAAAATCCATAGGCTCGGGATTCCGGGCTGATGGAGGACTTGCGGAACTGATAATTGCGTCGACCGCTTCACAGACTGTACCTAGAGCACCTTGAATGGCATCTACCGAGGCCGGGCACACTGTTCGCAAGTCAGTGCTACGGTGGCAAAAAGGATTGAAGAAAACTATACAATACAAATCGCCTTGAGGCAGGTGGTCTGGGAGTTCACTTTCTCCCTTCGCGATCTTGTCGTGGCTGTCTTGAGCCCAAGTCTTCAAGTCTTCCAAATAAACATCGCGTTCAATGTCGCCGTGTATAAATTTGACCGCAGGATTGTCCAAAATATCTACTGAAGCGCTGCTATGCACGAAACTGACAGGAATGCGGTATGCTTGGTCCTGGGCCGCCAGAGAGCTGGCGGAGGAAAGCTTCAACTTTCCGAGTGCCGATGCCAGTTCGTCCGGGTCAGGGGTGGTGTTTGCCGCGTGGGTCGCACCTGGCTTGGACAAAGGATCCCCGGACGACGCGATGGCGTCCTCCAAATGAGCAATAGCAGCTGCCAGACCAATATGTACCGCGCGGAGGCGCTCAGGCCGCTCCACGATGTTGGAGTTGTCCTTGGAACGTATATAACGGTGCTGCAAGCAGGCTTTCTGCAGAAATATTCCTGTTCTTGACACATTTAAACGTGCAAACTTGTCCTCGGAGGGCAAACTCATGCCGGTTTGCTGGCGGAGGTTGTAGATAATGTACTCACAGGACAGGTTTCAACGCGCTGTCGGAGTTTCAATCCACCATTGCAGCGTTCCCCGATTTGGAGAGGCCAGCCTGTTTCCGCCACCGAAGTCGTTCTCATCGTCGAGTTCTTGCTCACCGTGGGCTACTCCCGTACTACTGTCGCTCGTTGCCCCGGAATTGCAGCATTAGTTCCCGTGTCCACGCAGCCAGAAATTGCCTAGGTAGATTCTATGTCAGAAAGCGGTCGTGGTGACGCAGCGACGCCTGTGGCCCCCACCGTCATCCAGCAGGCCGAACACGACGGCATAGATACTCGAGGGGCAGCCGCTATCGAACATATCAGCGATGAAGAAGAAGTCCCCACGCTCTCGGAGAGCGAGTGGTCTACAGAGGACTCAGACGAGGACCCTCCGCATAGCGACCACAGCTTACCATCCCTGCAGTCTGTGTCCGACTCTTCCGATTCCGACCTTCATTCGGATGACACATTATCAGACTCTATGGAGGAAGACGATGAGGAGGAGGAAGACGATGCAGCTGAAGTGCCCCCCATGCCGTCCTTGCGAGTGAGCGTCTGATGTATTATCTGGCGTGAAGCATTGTGTCGTAACTTCTTGTTTCACCAGGAATTTGCGCGCCAGGGATTGAGAACCCTCGATATTGTGGAGCTTCTACTCTCTGCACCGAACCAATCTTTGGACAACGATCCTTTGAGAGCTCGGACGCTGCTTGCTGGCCTTGAAGTAGTTCCAGACGATCTTGTTCGCCGCTACGAAAACCTGAAACGTGGATTCGGAGACGATAGCGATGGCTGCGTCATATGCCGCGATGATCTCCTACCACGATTTCCTTCACCACTGTCGCGTGAAGCCGAGGCGCTTGCTGTGGTCGAATTATTTTCGATGTTACCCTTCCAGCCATCGCCTCAGACCATTCGCGCATTTCCATGCCCTGGAAAGCACCTGTTTCATCACGACTGTCTTGCACCGTGGCTTGCGCGCAAGACGACCTGCCCGACATGTCGGTTTGATATCGACCCTCATTCGCTGACTTTGCGTAAGTCCACTACACCGCGCCGTGCTTCCAGGTCATCGCCAGAGAGGGTGTGGAAGCCCCCACGAGTGAGGAGTCTGGGGGAATGGCTCGAGGACGAAGAGTACTTCCGCAAACACGGCGTCCGGAAAGAAAGACCGTCAGACGCTGTGACTGGTACGTGTATCTTATAGTTTCCTCCTAGCGGACATTCTGATAGCGCCAGTAACAGAGGGGGTTTCCGCTGCATTCGCTGACGACGAGCTGGAAGCCGACGAGGACGAATGGGTAGACACAGACGAGGATCTCCCGGGGGAACGCGCTCTTCGCAGATCACTCCAGAACGTTTTAGATCCCCTGCCCGAAGAGCTGCGTATGCGGTTTCGGTCCGAGATGCGCTCCATGCTTGACGTGTCATTGCCTTTAGGCGATCAACATTGGGATACAGGTTTTCGATCGGGTCAAAGTAATCATTGACCCATTCTCTACCGTCATTCACTGGTGGAAACAGAGCTGCTTCGTGTATCAATAGGATTGACAGGTTCGTTGTCTGGGACATTCTGCTGTTGCTGAAACTTGCATTACCTTGCTTGCAAGGTCTCTCCACCCTCTTAATTGTCATGCTTTTCGACTCCCTGGTTCCTTCCATGCATCTGAATCTTGCATGACAAGTCCCGACTCGGCTTGCAACATCTCAAGTTCGAATCTGTGCAGTGGCAAATGTCGCAAGCAAGGTCTCTGCTGTGAGGAGGCAGCAGTTCCCTCATATTCTACAGCTCTCACATATCATAGTCGATGAAACCATCAATGTACATTACCTATTACGTAGATTCTTCCTGGGTACGAAGTACAACTGGATATTGTAGTGACCAGTCCGAGCCATTCATGAGTTGGGATGTGGATAGGTTGTGCAGGTTCGACCATTCCAGAGAATTCGTGTCTGCCACCTGCGGTCCAGTAGCGTTCAGTGATAATTGAAGCAGCAAGTTACTTGAGCGCTCACCATTACAGTATAACCAAAGGTCGAAGGCGAGTGTCTACAGAGGTCGAAGGCGAGTGTCTACAGAGGTCAGACTAAATTTAATAAATTTTATTCTAGGTCAACGTTGACATGCTGTGATCTCTCCATTATGATTGTGACGCTCATATATATATTACTGAGTACTGAGTCCTCCGGTAAGTATACAACTTGAATTTTTGTTCAACTTTTGCTCATCCAGGCCGAGTCACGTGCTCTGTACTGACTAGTACTGACCGCTACCACCGCCATTTGTGCTGTCCATTTAGCTACGTGTGCTATCTGGCATAGCCTATACGTCAGCTCTCCTTACTGAAACGGAGAAACGCAGTGAATTCCGAGTCAGTGAGTACATATCATGCAGCAGGAAACGCCTCATCGTGACTTCTTAAGATTCCACAGGAAATTTTGGTGTTATTCGTCGCGAATTCTCGGTCTGTTAAGCTTCTGCGCCGAGCCTATATGGTCGATGATCCTTCGAGGGCCCGGAAGCTGCTGGCCGGTCTTGAAGTAGTGCCACACGACCTTGTTCGCCGCTACGAGAGCCTGAAACGTGGAATCGGAGATGACAGCGATGGCTGCGTTATATGTCGCGAAGGTCTCCGACCACCTTCTCCTCCACCACTGTGGCCTGAAGCGGAACCACTCACCGTTGTCGAATTATTGTCAGTATTGCAGCCGTTTTCTCAGACCATTCGCGCCTTCCCATGCCTTGGCATGCACTTATTTCATTACGACTGTCTTGCACCGTGGCTTGCGCGCAAGACGACCTGCCCAATGTGTCGGTTTGATATCGATCCTCATTCGCCGACCTTGAGTATGTCTGCTATGTGGCACGATGGGCCCAGACCGTCCCCAGAGCTGGTGTGGAAGCCCCCACGAGTGAGCAGTCTGGGGGAATGGATTGAAGCCGAAACTAAGCCGAAGAGTACTTTCGCGAGCACGGTGTGCGGAACTCCGTCCTTTGTGACTGGTAAGTATGTTGTGCGGTCTTTTCCTGATCAATGTGTGATAACACGAGTAACAGACTCAGGCTGGTTTTCTGCCGCATTAGCTGACGACGAACCTGAAGTCGCCGAGAATGAACGGGTGGACACAGGTGACTTCAATGGTCTGACTCTACAGGATTTTCTGGGATTGCAACGACGGTCATCCATTCATGGTCACGCAACTGAGTCTAGTGATCGTCTGACTTCTGCTGGGTCAGATGTTTCACGACCCGGGAATGCCACGCTAAACGGAACACTCTTGCAGGACACCATGGGCCGATTCCCCACGAGCACATCCTCCATGTTGCGATCCCCCAGTCATTCTTCGCTTGACATAGAGTTCATCGACTGGGATCGTGCGACTTCTACTGTTTCACTACCTGGGAATGCTACACTAGACGGAACACTTTTCCGGGGTGCCATGGGCCGATTCCCCACAAGCACATCTTCCATGATACGATCCCCTTGTCATTCTTCGCTCGACATAGACTTCATCGACTGGGATCGTGTGACTTCTGCTGGGTCAAGTGTTTCACGACCCGCGAGCTAGGCGGAGCACTCTTGTAGGACACCATGGGCCGATTTTCTACGAGCACATCCTTCATGACAGGATCTTCCTGTCATTCTTCTCTCGACGAAGACTCCATCAAGTTACTGCGCAGCCCCCAGTCGTTTGACTGGAATCGTTGACGAAGCAGCGCCTGCCAACGAACACCTTTGGGATATTGGTTTCCGTTCGAACGACGTCTCTATGCCATTGTCTAGAATCTAGTTCTTGCTCGGAGAGCAAGCTCTCCCGACCCAAAAATGAAAGTGTCCTTTTTACACAGTTGTTGTTCGCTATTTGTTTTGTGGCAATTCTGTCCGCTCCCGTCTCCGAGCAAGTTCCGCCGCCGCCTGGCGGCCTTTCGAGTTACCTAGACAGAGCTGTTCCGTGTACGATTAAGGTCGATGTTGTTTGGGTCAGGGCTTTGTAGGCTCTATTGATGCGCGGACTCATATGTTCTACAACTTATACACATCGTGGAGTCATCGATGTACATTAAGAGGTAGCGGTTATTTCAAGGGTGTGGATCATCGATGTGCAGGCTCCTCGGGGAGACTTAGTGTCACGTCCAAGCCTCGTGCGTCATGAGTGGGAAACTGTGAAGTGTCAATCCCTTTCAGACATGAATTCCAGCCTGAGGTTCAAGCAGAGCGTCCACGATCGCCGACTCATTTCAAGCGTACGTCAGGGTGATCGATCAAACACTCTGATTTGGATTCGGCAATGAACTACGTTCGGTAAAAGAGCATGATAATGGAAACTTTTCATAGAATTACAGCCGGCTGGATCCTGAGCGGAACGGGCAACAACATCACGCCATACAAGGAATACAGTGACGATACAGGCCTACAGAAATAACTACTAGTCCACGCCTCTATTCCAGATCGGCTACAAGCTCTGGAGCTTGTCGAGCAGAATAGCCCACTCGACAACGGTGACACCCCTCTTCAAAGCCTGCTCCTTAATCTCCTTGTCCCGTGTTTCCTCGCTTAGCCTCGCGATAGCTCGCAAGTGCTCCAGTCTCTGAATGCCGAGGTCCGACAGGATTGGCGCTATGTGCAGCAATGAGGGGTCGCATGAGGAGAGTATGAGTTCCACCGACGACGTGGACGTCGCCTTCGTCACGGTGGAAGCATCAGTAGGATGGGCAGGAATGAACGACTTCTTCTGCAGAGGCGTCATCGTTATTGTCCTCTGCCCTCTGAGACTTGGAGTGCGTGTCGTACTCCCGCTACCAAACGGAGATGTCTGTGCATAAGTGATCATATACTAAGCATCGGGATTCAGCATGGATTGTAAGCGTCTGACGGTCACAGCAGTACCTCATTTCGTTCGTTGGAGTGCCTGCCAGACAACCGTCTATTTCCTGATGATATCGATCTATCCGGCAAGGGCTTGTTAACCATCGCGTTCGACGAATTCGACTGTGATCCTTGGTTCTTTAGGGGAATAGCGTTCCCAATTTCCGATTGGGCGTAAAAAGCCATAGGAAAACCATTTCGAGAAGGTTGAGCATAAGTCACCATGTACTGTTGAAATGACGTAAAAATCACAACGTCACTGACACAAAACACAGCCCACCTCGCTCCTTTCATACGATGCTCTCCCCGACCTGCGCACCTCCATCTCTCTCCCAGTCCCCCTCGGATGCGCATTGGTACCACCGCTTCCCGTGCGGCCATGGCTCGCCACCCTCCGCATACGCGAGTCGTCAGATAGTACCCTGCGATGTGCATGGCTGTTGGTATGGTCACTTCGCAGGTCGTCCGCATCGTCATATCGACTGTTGCTTCCCCCACTACTTTGAGCTACCCTTTCGCGCCATAGAGAGATCGTTCGTTGTGGATTGTCCTCTATAACCTTCTGTTCCACAAGCTCGATCTTCCCTCTGTTACCGCTGATCTTCCTCGCGTTTTCCGGTATAGGCATGTTGAGTGGACTCCTCTTTAGGGTCCTCATGCTGCCGGTATAGGTCAAATCGGAACGTTTAGTGTTATCGAAGGTCTTCCCGCTGGACACGTAGTAGTCATCCTCCCCGCTGAGCTTCCTCTCCATGTCCATGACATAGTTCCGATATCCGCTGACTGACTCCTCGTAGTCGCGATGGCGTACGGCGCCGATGTTCCATTCGGTGGGCACTTCTGTCGTTACCGCGTCAAAGCCGTCATCTAAAGGAATGCTCGTCGGCGGTGCGGGTGGGCGTCGTACCGACCACTGGTTTGAACTGTACTTGCTAGGACTTTCATAAGTGCCCGATTCTGTGTCGGTCAGTCGAGAGTTCCCAAAAATGGCTCAAAAAACGCACCACTGACTCCGTCGGTTAAATACATGCTATCTGTTGAGGTCGCTGGTAGCCCGTAAGATAACAGAGAGTTGGGGACAGCAGAAGTATGTGCATCGATAGTCTGGGACAGACCAGAAGTGGCTGAACGCCTATATCGAGCAAAACACGCGTTTGCAGCGTGTCGCTGGTCACGTGTCCGTTTTCGATGATCAGGCTCCATTTTTTGCTGCCAGTGGGTGGCGCTTCACCACGAAATGACGACATTGGGACTGCGATAGCAGATTTGTGAGGAGAACTGAATAGAAGTTGGGGACCTGCCCTCTGAGCACTATTTTAACGCAATCAGATTGAGTTTTGGATACTGTCTGCTCGTGTACTTGGTGGCTAAATACCTCTATCCTCCTACTTCCAGGGTATGTCCACGATAAGCTTGCATACAGATGATGAGCGGGAATCACTCACAATAATAATCTGAGAGCGGTTGTGGCACTATTGTCCGTCACTGCTTTCACTGCTTTTCTAGCAGAGCACAGGAGTGAGGGGTGCATGACTTGAGGGGAAGCAGAGGTCGGTGGTAATTCGGCAGGTGTGTGAACCGGGAGCCAAGGGAGCGGGATCACTCGCAACGTCATTGGTCAGCGATTCGTCGAAAAGGTCCCAATGTATTGGATCAACCAGCAGGGAGTCATGAGAACCACAAGTCCAAAGTCTACAAGGGCGACGCAGCCAATTTATCGAGAAGGCGGGTCTGGGATTCTCCTTCCATATGGCGTGCTGAGACACGCAAAAGCCCGGAGATACTGGGAGTTGAAAACGCCGACAGACCGAAGAGACCAAGGCCGAAGGAGTGGACTCTTGATGTCGTCCTCTCAAGCATCCAAATTTCCACCGCTGGGGTACACAGATGGCGTACAGCACCGTCAGATATGGTAGGAATGAATAGTTCAGCATGTCCGCAGAAGGTTGGAAGGCACTGTGTTTGAGCTAGTGCCATGATGGCGACTCGCAGGTCATAGTCACACGGACCGATTGAAAGTCAAGTCGTCTGCAGGCTGGATAGGCAGCTGCCAAACCCCGATGGAGCATGATAAAGCGAGAGTGACTCAGAGATAACGCAAGACGAGTCAATGTTTGCCTCGTCTCGCAATATCGGCAGATAAATTCCTGAGCGGGCGACGCCGACATTCCTCAGCCTTCAGGTAAGGAGAGTTATCGCCAGAGGGGTTAATAATACCAATTTCTTCCATGCTACACTAGCTCTGCTCCATAACAGTTCAAATATGGTAAGATGTAGCACCCAGTAAGACTCACCTTATCAAACTGCCACTCTAGCTGGCACCGCGAGCTGGTTTTCGTTTGACACACTCCTATTCGAGGGTCAGCAAGGAACATTGGACGAATAAATATGAGGCCCAAAAGTTGTGGAAGTGTGCCATCCGAGCCTCAGCCATCGTTGTGTCGGTGAATCACGACGGTGAAAGCCCAAACTGGTGTTTGGCCACATGCACGTGATGTGGGGGAGCGTGCCACAGGCGCGTTATACGCGAGTCACGCGTCACGCGTCGGGAGTATATAAGCCAGCGACGCGGTTCGTTGAACGCCCCCACGCCCTTGCCTTTTACATCCATCAAACCCTGCTACACGCGCCCTCCCTCAGTTCCTCGTCCCTCGTCCATAAAGCTTCCCAACATCTACCATGGCTCGTACCAAACAAACCGCTCGTAAGTCTACTGGAGGCAAAGCCCCTCGTAAGCAGCTTGCCTCGAAGGCTGCCCGTAAGACGGCCCCGGTAAGTTTGTTCTGGTTGCTCGTTGCTCGCTCAATACTTACGGCGCGTTTCCTTCATCTCTGCAGGCCACTGCCGCTGGTGGTGTGAAGAAGCCTCACCGCTTCCGCCCTGGAACGGTCGCACTGCGAGAGATCAGGCGTTACCAGAAGTCGACGGAGCTCCTGATTCGCAAGCTCCCCTTCCAGCGGCTCGTTCGTGAGATTGCTCAGGATTTCAAGGTGAGTCAAAGGCTACAATGTTCCTGACCTGTGCGTGTTGACTCATCGGTACCGCATTCTTCCAGACCGATCTGCGCTTCCAGTCATCGGCCGTCATGGCTCTCCAGGAGGCTGCGGAGGCATATCTCGTGTCGCTCTTCGAGGACACTAATTCTGCTGCCATCCACGCTAAGCGCGTCACTATGTATGCTTACCTATTCTCATCTACCCGGATCAACCTGCTAATGCTCATGAATGCTGTAGTCAACCGAAGGATCTGGCGTTGGCGCGTCGTCTCCGTGGCGAACGGGGTTAAAGGGTATCTGTATCCATATGTGTGATGGGCCGCGTGAGGGTTGTTGTATGAGTAGTCTTTATTCTTTATTCGTCGATATTCTTTCCGACATGTATCTTATGCCCGTATGACGAATGGGGAGGACGATGCTATGATATATGTATTCATTTCTTGCATTGCATGATGTGAGGGAGAGTGAACTCATGGTCCTGAGTGCACATGCGTGTACAGTATGGAGGTGATTCATGTACGGGTAAGCTTGCAGATCGCGATGGGAGGTCCAGCTGCATGCTCCAGTACTGTGCAATGGAGGATGAGTGGGGTTGCCGTACATTCCCGCATGCCCAGAACCTCTTCCAGGACATGGTGGACCGCCGCGCCGTGCAACAAATACCCTGAAGATCGCTCTGTGGTTCTGTCCACGGCATTAATGTTGTCTGGGACGAAGAATGGGGCGACAGATAAGCTGCTGGCGACGATGATACTACGTACAGGGCGGCGAGCGCCACCAGCTGCCGGAGTAGTCTCGAACCTCGTGTGAGAGGCCTCTGAGAGGTCCCCCGTGGGAATCATTGAGTTTGAATATTGGCATCGGCCCAACGGCATAGCACGGTCATGTGACCGCGGCGTGGTGAGCAGCGCGACGACGCGTCTGTCCTGGCAAGTAGACACCTCTTGATCTGTAACTTATCCCTCCTGGCTATGAATGATGACCCGCCCGACTCGCGGGGATGGCTGGCTACTCTCGTTCAAGAAAAATGCGGCCTGTCACATGTACGGCCCTGGCAGTTAGACCACGCACTCAATCTTATTGCCGGCAATGACCTATTCCTTGTCATTGCTCCAGGCTCCGGCAAAACACTCGTTATATGCGCACCACTTCTAGCCGCTCAGAGCCACGGACATTCTGAGATTGCTCTTCTGGTTGTACCGACTAAGATTCTGACCGAACAGCAGGTATTAAGAGTTATATCTGAGTTTCGGCTCCTACTTCTCACTGCAAAGGCATCAGGCTGCAGTCTTCATAGCTTTCGGGATCCGGGCACTTGCAATTAATGAAGACTCCATCAGGGATGCCTACTATGAAGGAAGAGACCTCTTCAATGAGCTATGTGAAGGTAATGACATACGTGTGGCCGTCATTACACCATGGATGCTGCAGAGCGTCCGAGTCTCTTTAGACAGCGCAATGCAAGGAGAATGCGCTCCTCAACCGGGAGAGAGTTGTACCACCCGGCGACACTTCGGCCTGTAATGGAGATCGGAATGCCTGAGAAGAGGTCCTTGATAAAAATGTCTTCAATGTCGTTGACAGTAGTTCGGGTTCCTCTGATTGCGGTATCAGGGATAGCTGTCGGAGGGACCATGGTGACAAATTGCGAAGGGAGATAACTTTCCAAGCGGGAGGGGGTTGATGGTACAGAGAAGTATGGTGCTTGTGCTGTTCCGTGGTATGCATAGTGAAGCGGGGGTGGCAGTATATACGGGAGATAAGGGGTAGAATGTGCTAATAATGCGCTGCGAGAGCTAGCAGCATATGGCTGGAGCTGCAGTGCGAGGAGAGGACTGAATACATCTCGCGGCTGGTCCTCAGTGTCCTGTTCATTCACGGTCAGTCTGCAGACACTCGAAAATTGTATAGCCGCATCATGTGTATCTTACCGGTTCACTTTGTATATCTGTCGACAACTCGTTGTTGCACGTGTCATTCGTAACGTTTTCGCCGTGTTCAAGTGGTTGGCTCACCGTCGGGGCCTCAGGATGCTCCTCAGTGGTTTCGGTGTCTGTTACTGGACTTTGTTGAACAGATGAGGGTTGCATAATGGCGGATATATGAGTAAAAGTATGTATATGGGTGTCGTGGGCACGCTCAGATATGCGTTGCGACGCGTCTCGCTTGCCCTGAAAGTTCTGTGCGCGTTTTTGCTGTCGGCATGTTCAAACTCCGCAGTTCCCATGGGGGACCTCTCAGAAGCCCGTCATACGAGGATCCAGCCTCTATATAGAGGAACGACGCTTTCTTCCTATATACTAGAGGCTGGTTAACGAGCCTACTGCCGGAGTGGCAGACAGACCTTCAATTGGAGATCCCTAAAGTATTCCATAGTACTCCACGTCCCATTTCTCCGTATTATCCTCCCCTACTGTTCTTCTCTCCCCATCTTTGACGGATGCCTGCTTCCATTCCAGGCAGTTGCCTGTGGTCCTTCTCCCCCACAGAAGGCTGTGGCTCTCTCCCGCAGCAGAAAAATTATCTCGTCTTCCTCCTATCCTCTCCTCCATTTTTTTCCTACTGTTCTTCTCTCCCCGTCTTTGACGGACGCCTGCTTCCGTTTGAGGCAGTTGCCTGTGGTCCTTCTTCCCCACAGAAGGCTGTGGCTCTCTCCCGCAGCAGAAAAATTATCTCATCTTCCTCCTATCCTATCCTCTGTTCCTCTTTTTCAACTCTCCTCCTCTCTTGATCTCTGCTAATGAATGCTAGACTCCTTTTCAACTTGTTCTCTTCTATCTCGCACATCTGTGCTGTGCTTTCCTCAACGACCTCCTCTGTCCTCTTCTCTCCCACTTATACGTTCCCGCCCCAGCTTCTGTCTGTACATACTTACCGCACACAATCCGTCTTTTTGCTTCCCTCCATTTCTCATATTTCATTTCACGTAGTATTTCGGGTGTGCTCTCATTTATCCTCCCCCGCCATTGTGCATTCCCTCTCGCAGCATTCACTCTTTGTGCCACTTGACCTAACACGCGCCGTTGTTACATTGTGCTTGCCTTTCTACCTACCTCCCTTACTAAGTGGACATGTGATGTCCACCCCTATTATCCGCTCTTCGTCATTTCTGACGAAGCCGAATACATTTCCTTATTTGATTAGCATCATAACTTGATGCCGTGAACATGGTCCTCATCTCATTGCCCACTCTGGTCAGAGGTGAGTGTCATCAGATATGTGGGGAACCACATCTGATTCCTGGGCAGGTTTTTTGCAAATTTTTCCTGCCAGGTATTATCCCCTGGTCTGCCTGTGTTTTTCACTACTATGGCCAGGAGTGTAGGCGGATGGGTATGAGGCTATCGGACCGGTATCGATTATCGATGCGTTGCTGTAATAACGAAGTAGGCATGGCGTAGCATCATAGTAGTACTACTGGCTTTGCTTGTACTTATTACAGCGACAACCCAGCATTCCTAACTGGGACCCATGCCGGTAATACACCACCACCACCACCACCTGCGCACGGTTCTCAAGTCAGGCCCTCTATCGCCTATATATGCGCAGCCCACATCTATGACCGCATACAGACCTGCATATATAGAGTATATTACGGGTCACTGCTCCACCCTGGTGACCACGGTGGTGACCCCCCATAAAAGGAATTGAAGGGTCACCAGCCCTGTACACGCCGGTCATCAGGACTTGGCTGCACGGAACCCTACCCCTAAAGGCCCACAAGTGCGCTCGGGTGAACCCGGCACGGCAGCCAGCCAGGGCACGCATGGCGTGGCGGGCAGCTCGTGGGCGCCTAGCCCGATGTTCATTGTCATCGCCTGCTGCCACTGCCACCGCCACCTCACTGCCATCGCCCCTGCACCCCTGCACTGCTACCCTGGCCCGCGTGCGTCCCTCACTAGCCGGCTCACCCCAAGGCAGTGAACGAATGAACGAATAAACGTGTCCCGTGCCTGCGCTGGCCCTCGCGCCCCACGCGCCAGCCAGCAAGCCCCATGCCTCAGCCAGCAAGCCCCGCGCCTGAGCTCATCGCACCGACCGCATCACGGTCACTCTCGCCCTGCATGTTGCGGCCCCACCGCTGTCGTGCCCTCCCCGAACGTGAACGAGAAAACATGCGAAAAAAGCGGACATGCCGCCTCTGCCTCACTAGGCCTGTTGTCACAGCCCGCCCTGCCGCGCGGCCACTCTTCTTCTTCCTGTGTGTATCCTACTCGAAATTTTTACTTCCTTTCTTCGCATTTTTATTTTAAAGAATCTCCTTCTGCCCCTGCCCCACACTTGAAGAGGATGAGGACGGAGCGCAACTCGTTCACTTGCGATCACCCGCAACACCGGCTGCTCGCCGCTGTAACGTACGCAAGAATCTAATACATTTTTTTTTCTCTCTGCCGTCCATCCCGCGCCAACCGTTCACAGCGTGCCTCGTGTCATTTCACATCGTGACCCTTGCCCTGTCCTGCTCCGATCGCGCCCCGCCGCCCTCACATTTCTGATCGCGGCCTCTTCCCACCGCTACTGTGGGTCCACCACCGTCCTCCCTGTAAAACAAAGGCCCAACCCCATCTTGCTTGCACACTCCAATGGCGCACATCTGCATCTGTGTGCCATCTCTGGTGAGTGTCCTTCCTTTTCTTTCACAGTCCTCTCTGTCTGCCGCCGTATATGCGGCCCCTTGGAGCGATCACACGACGTTCGAACAGGCCTGTTCGTGATGTGTCCGCGATGCTGAGGCCGGCCGCCCTCGCTCCATGATTTCTGGTTTATACTCCGTGCTGACCCACACACTTTTTTTCGGTCAGACCTCGTCACCACCGGCCATCCTTCTGCAGCAGCGGCGCACCGAAGGTGTTTGCCAGTGGAACAGAGCAACGTGCAGCTCGATCTGTGGTGCCTGTCTTTGGCACAGCACCCTCCGCGTGACATCTCGCTGCTCGTGCGGCCTCCCTCAGCTCATCTCACCGTCCTCATCACCACCCGGGTCACACCATGGGCCGGTCGACACAGCAAGAACAATTTTGAATGGTCTCCTACGACTCACCGCCACCGCCGATCTCGAAGAAGCGGCGGCAAGAAGATGATGCTGGTGATCTCGCCGGACAGCACTCCGCTGACGATGGTGCCATTGCGGGCAGCAAGCTGGCGGCGGGTGGCCCCGCGCCCGCTGTTGCTTCGACTTATGTGCACTACGAGCCGCCGCGGGCCCCCGCACTCATGCCCGAGGTGTCGGGCCTGCTCACCATGAGTCGCGAGGGCTTCGTGTACCCTCCCACTTCGAGCTACGGTCTGGCCTCAGCACGGGAGCCCGCCTGGCAACCTCCGATGAACCCTCCAGCAGCTGTGGCAGCCGCGGGCTCGCTGCGGCACTCGCTCGCCCGGCTGGAGCTCAAGTCTCACGACACACGCGTCAAAAAGGTGCAGTTGGATCAAGATGACAACCAGACCAGTTCAAGCTATGACTGCCACGTGAAGAACTACGCGACGTACTGGGCGACGTTCCAGGCCGAGCGCTGCCAGCGCGCACTGGGGGAAGTGCCTGTTCCAGTGTTCCCTGTCACTGCCCTTAAGGCCTCCTTCTTCCTGGAGTACGAGATAATGCGCGAAAAGGTACGGCAGCACTCCTCTGCACCATGCCATGCCACTGCTCTCCCGCTGACACACACCTTGTTGCAGTGCCGCCAGGGCAAGAACGAGGCCATCACGGGGTCGAACATGGGCAAATCCCACATCTCGCAGGTCATCAACGCGCTCGAGAGCTGGCATCGCAACAACGCCTATCTGTACAAGGATGACCCCGATGCGCAGATGTCGTTGCGCACTGACATCTGCATCCACACTGCAGAGTCATCGGCCAAGCACCAGGAGCCGAAATGCATAGAGAAGACACAGGCCTTGAAGGCCGCGGGGAGCTCTGGGGGTAAGTGTCGCACTCCCCCTGTCCTGCTGCTGCACGATTCGACTGACGCTCCCGCCTTCCAGACACTTACACGCCCGATGAGCTGAAGAGGTGCTTGATTTGGTGCCTAATGGATGTGTCGGGTGTCAAGTCGATCTGGATCGGCCTGCGCGACCGTGCGATGCTCCTGCTTTCATCCACGATGGCTTTCCGTGGGGAAAGCTCACACATCCTCGAGTGGTTGGACCTCTTTCTGTCATCCATCCCCATGGATGATGTCAAGCCCATTCAGCCAATATATACCTAAACTTCCATATAACCGAGGTGGAACATTTTGTGTAAATTTCCATAAAACTGAGTGTTGGCCAAGAATATAATATAGGATGGAGATATAGGGTTGGCCAAGATAATTAGGCTATATAGGCTGAGTAGCATATTTGGGAGTTAGCCAAGGGAGGTGCGATTTGAAGTCTATATAGGTTGTCGAGCATTTTGGGGTCGGCCGCCATGTCTCTATATAGATTGTAGCTGAAATAGTGCCATTGGCCAAGAGTCATAAAATTCCAATCCTATATAGAGTTTGCAGACAGTTGGGCTTGGCCAAGTGGACCTATATAGAATCTTTGTGTAAATGGTCCACTTGGCCAAGGCATATGAAATTTCGATCCTATATAGCATCTTCTGAAATTTGGCCTTGGCCAAGAGTACCCTATATAGATTTTTGTGGAAATAATGCCTGCAGCCAAGGGTTGAGAAATTTGCATTCTATATAGGATTGTCTGAAATTTGGCCTCGGCTAAAAAGATCCTATATAGTTCTTGTGGAAATGGTGGCCTTGGCCGAGCATCCTGGAATTTCTGTTCTATATAAGGTCTGCTGAACTTTGGCATTGGCCAAGGATGCCCTATATAGTGTTTGTGAAAATGGTGGCCTCGGCCGAGAATCTAGAAATTTTCATTTTATATAGAGTTTTCCACACTCTGGCCATGGCCGTATAACTTTCTACACAAATGGTGCTCCAGGCTAAGGCATCCAAACTTAAAGGTCTTGCTGACACCATGCTTCTTTAAGGTCCCAGAGGATACACTCGTCCAAATCTACATAGCCAGTCACACACATTTATTGGCTAATTTTGCATATCTACCTTTGCAACTCGCAGACTACCTGACAATCATTTGACCATTGAATGCCTGCTGTGATTGAAGTGCAAAGTCCTTCCACATTGCACCTTGCTTTGCTGCATAGGATGCATGACCACGTAGACCTGCATTCACTGCCTCCATCTCCCTGGTCTGCCACTCATGCTGCTTGCGTTCAAACCACAGGACAGTCCATAACATCTCATGTCGCACCTTCGGTACCTCCTCCTTGTACCTTGTGTATCATGCCTTTGCTCTCAGCCAGTTAACTCGATCAACTGACATGGTGATTACCATCTGTGAATAAGTTTGACCAGGCATAAACAGATAGTCACTCACCCTCCTTCATGGCATTTCGACCGACATCTTCCGTATTATTGTCCACACTTTCCCCCCATGCATTTCGAGCATTCTCACCTCCAAGTTTCCAAAACCACATCAATCTATCATTCCTCTGCCCAACTCTATTCTCCTCCACAATGTCTCCAGGCATCTTCGTGTCTTCCTTTTGAATGTCAAGATATTGTGTTAACAACTGTTCACTTGCTCCTAAACAGATCAGGGCTTTCCTAGCACACTTGTATCGTCTAATGATTTTGCGCTCTTGCTGACCAATCTTCCTGAGCTCAGCTGCATTTCGGGTTTTGTGCCATTGAGACTTATTGTGCCTGAATTTGGTCCAGAAAAGCAAAGACTTGTGACCTAACAAGAGTCGCAAGTCTTCAAGACAGTCATTGGCTTGGCCAACCTGTAGCTGTAACTCCTGCTGTGCAATGCTCTCCCATCCCACCATCTTGCATTGCTCAATGCCAAGTGAGGAGGGAAGCAGGAGAGTGATGTTCTCTGGCAACACCTCCTCTTCAATATCTTCTGGGTTCTCCTCCACATCCTCCATGGTCCAACCCTCTTCATCTGCCACCTCATTAGAGGAGATTTCTAAGTGCTTAATGTCTTCACCATCTAATAGCGCCGTTGTGCGATTGTGAAATCCATCAATTCTTTTCTGCAGCAAATTTCGCTTCATCTCCACCGAATTCTTGTCCGTGATGGAGCTTCGCTTGGTGAGGTGTTTTGCCATTACTTGTATGTTATCTCTGAAGCACAGACTGAGCAAAGAGACCGAAGTGAATGTCAACTGGCTCACTGTGTCTTTTCGATATTTATTCCAGTGCTCAATCAGGTTACTGTTCCACTTTCCAGGACTCTACCCTTCTCATTGGGTGACTGTCTTTCTTCTGTCGTGAGCAGAAGGCGAATATCACCCATGGATGGAGCTATGGCTCAGTTTGCTCAATCAGACGAAATCTGGCTTGGAGAATGCACATACCCTTCTCCAAGTTGACATTGTATATGTTCAACTTATCACCACGCTCTCGCATAGCCACGGTCTCCTGCTCAGTCCACACTTTGATATCGTCCTTGGTCATCGTGGTTGAGAGATCAACAAACTCTTGCTCCATTTCAGATTCACCTTTGACAGCCTTGGAATACTTGGTTCGGAGCATGTTCACTGAAGTACTGTTAACCCTCATCAGTGCAACAGCAAAAGAACAGTGCCCACCAATTCCCAGCAGCTTCATCCAGTTCCAGTCTCAAAAATGATCATCCAGAACCTCTCGTCGGTGTGCCTTGGTCATTGCATGTGTTGAAGGACCTGTGCCATTCATTTTGGACCACAGCATCTCCACAACCTCACCCTCAATCTCACCCATGTCTTTTCCAAAGTTTAAGGAGAACTTGGCAAAATACTCTGCAATGTGGGCCCCAAGGTGGAACTTCCCCACATAGGCAATGATCTTTATCTTGTCTGCGACCTTCA